CTCTAATATGCATTACTGATTGAGGTAGGTATACCTGATAAATAGCTGTTCTGAGCTATACATTTGAATAATAAAGATTTATGTGTGCAGGAGTTCATTGCAATACTGTAACAGAAAACTGACACCTGTACAACTATTCAGTTCATTGTTTCAGAAATCATGGACAATGTTACCAGTTTGCTTTAAATCAATTCATTGATTTTTATAATCAATCCATTTCATTGCGATTACAACACACAATTACAATTATGAGTGGAGTTTGCTTTGTTTATGATATTTAAAATGTTTAAAATAAAACAGTATAAAAGAGAGATTGAGGTATTGAAACATTGAAGCATTGTCAAAACGATCATGTAATTGATTCTAGTTTCTCAAGCATGCTCTTCAACAACAGTTCTTCAAATTTCTTCACACGTATGTCACCCAAGCAATAGTGGTTGAAGCAGCGAAGATCCTTTATCTAGACTGCGTGAAAGGAAAAGGAAATAAGAAAAAGAACAATCAATAGAAAACCATTATCAGAATTTCAATTATGAAAGGGAAACTTTACAGTGCATTATGATTGGGCGAAATTATTTTGTGTAGTTTTGGTACCAACTTTTAGAGAGGCTCTTAATGAATTAAATACTTAATTTGGTATCACCTTAGTATTGGCAATTTTTGTTAAGGATTAAAAAAAAAATTAGATGCTGACCTCGATAGGACCACTCATTCCCTTAACTAAGGGACCTAAGCATTAAAAGCAATTAAGAATATCTAAAATTTTAACTATTGGGAAACAATCAAGAAGGAGAGAAGATACCTTTTGACTCGCTCAGAAGCATAGACAATGGGTCATCATCAGAATCGCAATCGGAGCCATCAGGAGACTTTAAGGGTCACCATGCCAAGTCACACATGCAGCTCTGACTGTACGTGTTCGGTGAATTGCTTCAACGGTTCCATGCCGCTCCCACTCTTAGGTCACTATGCCAAGTCACATTCTGCAGCTCTGTGTTCAGTGAATTATCAAGGACCCATCTTACCAGCATGTCGGTCCCCGTATCCAATCTAATTTTGTAGAACGAAAGAAATAATTACAAGTTATTTTCTTTCATTTATTTGCAAGCAGAGGTAAGGAAATGAATCCAATATTATCTTTTGTACATCAAATTAATTACTAGGCATAACTGACCCCAAACAGAAGTTTTCAATTGCCCCTATTACCCCAAAATAGAATTTTCCAATTGTCCCTACCAAACACAACCACCCCAATGCACATACGCAGTGAGTGTGCTTAGTACTTTGCTGCTAAAGTGTGATTTTCTTGAACAGATCATGACACTATTCTCACCTGGATTTTTTTCTGGCCTGTGGCATTCTTGAAAAGTAGATGTACTTTCCCAGTGCTTCCTTCATACAAGTGAAAATTGTATCTACTGCATCTGAAACTAAGTGAAAGCAAAAACGTCATCATAATTTCATTACCACTGAAGTGTAGGTAGTGAGACATGTACACTATCTGGTATGGTATGGTGCTTGCTTGGAAAATTCTTTAAAATATGAAGTGGAGTTGGGCAACATTTGCTGGTATCAAGAACAATTGTTTGAACAAATTTTTGTATAGGGTGAGGGACCAAGGGTACTAAAGTGCTGCCTTTGAATATAACAGACACAGAGTACAGATAATGAGAGAAACTAAGCTAAACATGTGGACATTGTTCCCCAAAAGGTAGACCAGGGAGGAGTTTTTAACTCACATACCCTGGGTAGACTACTCATGATTACTTCAGTCTCAAAACAAAAGTATTCCTTTTTCGGATGGTGCCATTTATTCATTTTCAGGGCAGGACCGTATCTAATTTTCAATTTTTAATTAAATGTTCATTCATGTCCTTCTTTGCATGAAAGGCAAATCATTGAATTCCCTTACAGTTAACCAGGAGGGGCTACATCCCAGGTCATCTCAGCTCAGCATGATGATAATTTTCGAAACTCCCTTTGCCCTTGGCAATGTTGATGTTGGCCTTGGGCTTGGAGCCCTGAAGTTTCTTAAACCCCAGGCACGCCTTACAAGAAAGGTCTCAGTCTGGTCTAGATCCTGATCTACTCATCTCTAGACTCTAGATTCTAGATTGATGAGTAGTGGCTGACATAAACTGATAATTATAAAATGATGATCTAGAGTAACTAGACTTCTAGACTCTAAATCAAATTTATAATTAGCTAAATAGTAAATTACTGAAAAAATAAAAGTAAAACTCTGGTCTCTAGATTCTACTTTCTAACTTTCTGTAAAACTTTGTTCAAATTTATAACTTAAGCAGATATAAAAAGAACCTTAGACTCTTAGAGATCTCCAGAGAGATCTATAGCATTAATATTTGGTGTGGAGCTAAATAAGAAAGACTCTCCACCTAATTTATTTAGTCTAGATGTATATTTGTTAAGACATAAGTTGATCTTTTTAGTTTTGGATCACATGATACTTCACTCCCTTATTCACTTACATGAAAACAAGTATATGGGGCGATATGTGGAACGGCGGTGTATTTTTCACACATTTCTGTGCTCATGGACATATTTTTATGGCTTACAAAGAATCAGAATGAATCAAAAGAGTGTACCATATTAATTTACCTAAAAAAATATTTAAAAACTCACCTTTTCATGGTCTGTGACTGTTCCAAACTGCGAAATTTTCACTACCGTCACTTCGTGAAAACATTAAAAGCAGGAAAAGAGCAAACGGCTGTTAAGCGCGTACTTGGCCGTCACTTCGTGAAAACAGAAAATCCTTTTGCTAGGTATTTTCTTGTTTACGTCATCGTCATAGTGACATAATTAGACATTATTATGATCTGAAATTTTGTGAGGTTCAAGGTATTAGTGAATGATGTCCAAAAATGCAAAAAAATCAAAAGTGAAAATATGTGCAATTTTCCTCACTACCGTCACTTCGTGAAAACAGGGACGAAAAAGGGGCTCTATTAAAGTCGCCTTGAATTAGGGGTGCATGTTATTGAGAAGGGACTCGAGGCACTTATCAGAGGGAACAGAACAGTTACTAGCAATGGGAAAGTGCTCGTGTCAAAATAAAAGGAGCAGTTTTCAGAGGTGAAAAGTGGCATTTAAGAGAAGCTGAAGGGGGGTACTTAAGAAAGACAAAGTACACTTATTAAAAAGGAAAAGGGGCGCGAGTCAAAGGGGAAAAACGCAAAAATATCAGAGGAGATAAGGGGAATTTCTCGCACCTGAAAAGATACTCACCAGAGATGAAAAGAGAGGAAAACGGCAGTTATTAAAAAAAGAAAAGGGGCACTTGTCTTATGTAAAAAGGGGCTTTTTGTGGGTACCTGAAAGAGTGGATGGCACATTGCCCCCCCCCCCCCCCCCCGTGGCATAATGGGCAAAAATGAAAGAAAAAAACCCGGAAATTCATGTCATTTCAGCAACATTTGTAAATCACTGGTATCGAATTAGAAATAAATAACGTTTGAATTCATTTTGGGGATCAACTGCCCAAGCCTCCCCCAATCAGTACGCCAGTGTTAAAGTAGATAACGTAATCATGACAATAGACAATATGTCGTACTTGTTTGTCTGTTGAGTTTACCCTTCTTTCAATCTGGCTCAAGTTTTGCTTGATTATTTGGTACTGGAGGATTAACTTGTTTACATGATCACATTTTTTTCTTATTTATTCTAGTTGTTATGTATATTTTGGGCAAGAGTTTTAGCATGGATGCCATGTTTTACTCAAAATACTGTCCAAAATAAACAAATTACGTCTTGGCTGGTCTACTATTGGTTACTCAGTTCGAGTTAGCGATTTCTAGTTTTGCGCTTTGTGAATTAAAAGACACATGATCTCAAAAAGTGGTAAGACCAAATTAAACATAATATAAGTACCCATAGGATGTTTTAATTTGCCGGCAGTGCATGCATGGCATGAGACCAAAACTTGAATAGGATGGCATTGAAAAAAAATAATACAAATCTTCACTTTATCGTATTTAACACCTGTTAACTCTATTCACATAGGAGAACAGTTATGACACTGTGATGATGAATTAAACTTTCTGACAAGTAGTGAGCATTAATTTTTAAAATTCACAATTTGTATTTAAAAAAAAAAGAATTAAGAATAAATACAAATTATTAAATTAAGATTTGGAGAAGAAAAAAACCTCCCAAATAGTACTTTGTCAGAGCAACCTTTAAATAGTTGGAATGTTTCTGGTCACGTCGTGACGAGCTCTCAACCAACCAAAAGCCAATATATTGTTGATGCTGGATATAATAATAATTATTATTATTAATCTATTGCTATACTACTACTAAGGAGAAGAATTAGGTTCAAGGTTCAAGGTTCATTTTATTTCTTTCTTTCACAACATTTTTACATATAATAATAGAACAAAAAACAGCATAAGAAAAAACAATTTAAGTGCAATTTTAAGTCGATATATAATCCAAATGAAAGAAAGTGGAGACCTTAGAAAAGCTGGGCTTGTAAGAGCAAGGTCCCCATATAACATAATTAGAACAGGAAGAAGGAAAACAAATAATTTCAGTGATATTAGTGATCGAGGTATACACATGCCCATTATAATCCTTATTATCTCTCTCTCTTTTAAAAAAAAAATAATTGTGGAAAAGAAAATAAATAATTGGAAATTTTTCAAATATATATGCATGCTGAACGAGGAAATTCTAAAAACTTTATGTGCGATTTGTTAAAATGTGAAAATATAATTTTGTTTATGTGAATATTTTTCTTCTTTGTTGTAAGAAGGTTGAAGGATTTTATAATTAAATAGAAGAAGAGACATATAATTGGCCAACGTGCATGATTTATTACCTTCTACTTCAAAGTTTAATTATAATGCTTAAAAATATCCCATCACAAGTCTTGAGGATAAATACATCGCTCCTGTAAAAATAAAAATGGGCGTGGTTTAGATCGTACCATGTGCAGCATGTGCATTTATGTGTGCATTTACGTGCGCAGCTAACGCTATCATAATCGTCGGGCGATTGTACTTTTTCGTCAGGAACCCTCGGCTAGATGATTCTGAGGAGAGTTCGGTCTTTTCTTCCGGCATTTCAGCAATTTCATTGTATATTGTCATCAAAGAGTCGACAATTGTCGAGGTGAGTTCAACCTGCACTGTGCAGTATCTTGGCTTACGTAAAGTATCTGCCATTCTAACTCAGTCTTATCTAAGTTAGACTCTAGGCCTATAGATCTACTCTACCTAGTCCGCCGACATGCATGTAGCTCTGCTGCCGCCCCCACCGGCGCCGCTGCCTCTGCCTCTGCCTCTGCCTCTGGAGTCGCCTCTGAGCTGAGCTGAGCTCTGCAGCTCAGCTCTTCAAAACTTAAAGTTCAACTCTTGGTGGGGGTGGATCTCCTCATTCTCCTGTTCTTAGAATAATCTGTTTTCAACATCCTTTGACTATTGATGCCTCGATGAAACCAGTTAGTCTCAGCCATGTCGGTGGAACTATCTCCAGGACCAAGAGTCCAAATGATTTTTTTTATTTTTCTATCTAGGCCTAATCTAGATCTAGATCTAGACTATAATATAGCCCTAGACCGAATTTTTCGTCTCTTTCGTTCGTTAGCCTCTTCAAATGCAAAATACATGTAAACTATTGGAATCTGCTACTGTTAGTAGTACTAGATCTACTAGATTGAAGGCGCTAGTGTAGTTCCGTATCCATTTTTTTAGCAGTTTCATATCCATTCTTAGCAACGGAATTTTAGCCCAATTTTTTACTAATTTTAATCATAATCATATATTGCATTTTCCCCCTGAATTTGGATCACATCCGACATCGGGAAGCCTCCGTTTAGGGCTTCGATGTCGACGTCGTCGCTCTGTACCGTCTCAGCGCTATAGCTTTGCAACTCAAACTGAAGCTATCAGTCTAAAATTATGCAAGCTTCTCGTATAGTTTATGGTATCGTGCATGTGCGTAATACCTTAAAGCATACGCGAAGTTAGACCGAAAGCTTCAGTCTCTATAATCGTCGGTTGTTCCACTGAGACTACGTCTGGCTCCACTAGACCTCCGGTTATAGAGACTGAACGACTGCCTATGCCAGCCTGTGTTGAACTTATTCCGCTAGATTTTAGCCGCTAGGCCCCTCCCACAAACTTGCCACGGCCGTATTGTTATGCCCCCAAAATCCCCCAAAATGTCATTTTACCTCGTTCATTTCCAATTTTAAATTAGGCCTAGGCTATAATACATCGGTTCCACTTACTAACTTGATTGATATAATCCGTTTAATGGTCCCTTTTAAGGAAATTATCGGTCAAAATCGACATCCATGTTGAAAATCTTGCAAGCCGTGTTAAACTCTCGCTGCCGTCAATCTCATCCCTTCTAGTCTACGCCGAAGGCAAAATGATTATGAAGGAAAAACTGTGATAACGCCATTACGAACGTGTAGATGGCGCACAGTTTTTCCTTCATAATCATTTTGCCTTCGGCGTAGACTAGAAGGGATGAGATTGACGGCAGCGAGAGTTTAACACGGCTTGCAAGATTTTCAACATGGATGTCGATTTTGACCGATAATTTCCTTAAAAGGGACCATTAAACGGATTATATCAATCAAGTTAGTAAGTGGAACCGATGTATTATAGCCTAGGCCTAATCTAAAATTGGAAATGAACGAGGTAAAATGACATTTTGGGGGATTTTGGGGGCATAACAATACGGCCGTGGCAAGTTTGTGGGAGGGGCCTAGCGGCTAAAATCTAGCGGAATAAGTTCAACACAGGCTGGCATAGGCAGTCGTTCAGTCTCTATAACCGGAGGTCTAGTGGAGCCAGACGTAGTCTCAGTGGAACAACCGACGATTATAGAGACTGAAGCTTTCGGTCTAACGCGAAGTTTGCATAATTTTAGACTGACGACGTCGACATTGAAGCCCTAAACGGAGGGTTCCCGATGTAGGATGTGATCTAAATTTAGGTGGAAAATGCGATATATGATTATGATTAGAATTAGTAAAAAAATTGGGCTAAAATTTCTTTGCTAAGAGTGGATATGAAACTGCTTAAAAAAATGGATCCGAAAGTACACTAGCGCCATCTTTTTTAACATACATATTTCATCTAAGCTAGATCTAACTTAGAATTATGAAAATTAATTCTTTCTATGGAACATATTGCCCTATTTTTTTTCTTCTTCCTCTTTGTTTTTCCATTTTTCTTGTTCTCAATCCATGCTCGTTCAGATTGATGATGAGCAGTGCAACGACAGATAATTTGGACGACACCCAAGTGCAGCTCCTTGCCGAGCAGTGCATCGTGGTAGACCGAGATGACAATGTTATTGGAGCAGCTAGCAAGAAAGAATGCCACTTGTATGAAAACATCCAAAAAGGTTAGACTATCTGGTTAGCATTTTCTTTCTCTTCAGTCTTCATCACCATCATCTTCATCATGGTACAAGAAGAGGTAGATCCTGGAATCCTCAGTCACTCCTTCAGTGTTAACTAGGTTTAGCAGTCTCATTCTAATCATAGTAATAATAATAGTGGGTAATTGTATAGCGCTACTGATGACTGTCAAATTTGACACTCCGGGCACTTCACAATTATTACACCGGCTTTAGCATGGGTACCGGTACTCTTTTACCTTACCTGGGTCGAGTGTAGCAAATGTAGATTAATGTCTTGCCAAAGCATGTTAGTCTTCTTTCTAAAGATATTATCTCTTTTGTTTTTCAAGCATAACCATAAAAATACAAATGTTTCTCATTGACATTGTGTATGCGTGTAGCTGAGTATAGTAGGAGCATGTTGAGTGAAAGTTGTTAAATTGATAAGTACTTTGATATTTTTTTCTGTCATGTTTAGGTTTGCTTCATAGAGCCTTCAGTGTGTTCCTATTTAACAACAAAGGAGAACTTCTCCTACAGCAGAGGTCAGATGCCAAAATTACATTCCCAGGTAAGGCATGATCGAAGGGTAGCAATCACCAAATGATACGACTATGCAAGTATGTTAGAAATGCCATGTCGCTATACTATAGAGAGTCAAACTATGAGTTTCAAGCAGGGGCGTAGACAACGGGGGGGATGAGGGGGATGCATCCCCCCCACCTCACAAGGTGGGGGGGATGGCATGTACAATCATCCCCCCCAGGTTTTGGGGAATGATATTTGCTTACTTAATAAGTTATAATGATGATAATAATAGTAATAATAATAATGATAACAATTATAATATTAATAATAATAATAATTATGATGATGATAATAATAATCCTCATCATTATTGTAATTGTGTTTATTGTTATTAGCCGCATTCACAAGGTGAAAGCCAATTCAGACGGTAAGAAAAAGAAAATCTTACAAGTATTTTGTGGTTATCTTGTGGTTTGGAAACCACAAGATAACCACAAGATTAAACAGGCGCGGATCTACGGGGGAGGTTTAGGGGGTTTAAACCCCCCCTTGGGCGGCCCAAAAAACAAACAACAAAAAAAAGGGAAAAAAAAGAAGAAAAAAAAAAAAGAAAAAAAGAAAAAAGAACGCACGCTGGAGAGAAACCCTTTCAAGTGCAAATATTGTGAGAAGATATTCAACTCATCTGGTAACTTAACCAAACACATGATAACTCTGGATATAACTGTGTATTTAACTGTTACTTGATTTAAAAAGACGTTATCATGCACTGCTTTTTATGGTCTCCATTGTGTTAATAGATGCCAGGAAAACATCACTTACGGGGTTCAAATAAACACCCCCCAAAAAAATCGGCTCGCCGCTTTGCGGCTCGTGGACGATGCTCCGCATCGTCATTATTTTGGTCACCCCCCCCCCCCTTAGCAAAAAGCTAGATCCGTCCCTGAGTCATCCCCCCCAGGTGTACAAACCTGTCTACGCCACTGGTTTCAAGTAATAATTATATCAAGATATATTGCAGTTTAAATAAACTCTCAAGAAAAAAAAGCATTTTTGAGTAGAAACATGAATGCACCAGCATGCACTGCTTTAGAATAGCGTGTGAAGTATTAAAGGTAAAGATCAGTTTTGGAAACGCCCCCCTCTCAAAAAATGAAATGGAAGCTCTTATTAAATTACAATCCTGTGATAGAATATGTTTTGACTAATATGTGATCATACAAATTTTGCCGAGAAACTGCCCACTAATTGATATATTGGGTAAATTATTGTATCTCTTTGGACCTGATAGATATAACGCACGTGTCGCGCACGTGTGGGGGTAGTCCCATATACATCTTTCTGTGTACAGTGCTTGTCACTTTATCAAGATCTGGGCCAAATTTCTTTTCATTTTGATGATTCCAGAACCTTGCAGTACACACCAATACTTATATGCTAGATGATCGACCTTTTCTGACCGATTCCACAACGTTTCTTTCACAATGCAGTCACATGACCATAACTGGTCTTTATCTTTAAAGGTACTATGTCCCTTTTGCAGCCAACATCAAATTCTGTAGAACTTTGCAGGAATTAAGAATATGTCACGTATGTCCTATCTGTGAAACTTAAATGTTAGCAGTGTCCTATTCAAATTATGCAAGGAAACCCATTTACCTTGTACAATGTAGACTTCCCTGTCAAATACTACGGAGTGACTGACTGACATCTTTTTTTCTTTGGTAATAACATACATAAAATGAGCTGTAACAGGTACATGAGCATTTGTCTACATCAATAACCCACTACTTGTAATGGCCGACATTAAACTAATTGAATCTTTGTGCAGCACAAAACGTACGACCATTTGGTACAAGGATCTTAAAAATCAGACTATTACTTAGGTAATACCAATCCCTTATGTCGATTCGACAACTAATGGTTGTTATTTTCCCACAAAAATCCATTTTCAAACCCTTTCGTTTTGAGGGAATTTCTAAATCAAATGCTGTTGGAATTTAACCTTTTCATTTTTTGACCTGCAAATGGGCTAGTACATGTACCTTTTACCAATAGAATGTCTCAAAAGGGTTTCTTAAGTGTATTTCTTTTAACTTTTCGACTGTGTACAGAAATTATTTATAATGAAAGTGATTACTGAAATGAGTTGGTCTGAATTACTCTGCTCTTTTCTTTCTTTGTTATTCATAAAGAAATTAGTTGATGGTTGATATATTTACAGCCTCTCGACTGTAGTGATTGTGAAATTTGGATTGAAAGCCAAAATTGAACAATATAAATGGAAACTAAAGGAACAAACTGATTTTGACTTTATGTTTATTTTTGCTGTTTACTCTAATTAGTGCAAGATGAAAAGCTACAGTATGTCTCTCCTTAAAGCCCCACTGTATTACTTGTAGCTATACTTGCTCCCTCTATACAGAAAGCATTGGTCCCCCATGATCCTCTTTTTCTTATGTTAATTGAGAGCTGAGTTGATGAGATAACCAACCACCTGTCAGTGACCATCCTGGGTGGTCTAATCCGTCCTAGCCAAACTTTTACAATATCATTCCATTGACTCATGTTGTATTTTCTGTAGGATTCTGGGCCAATACATGCTGCAGTCATCCCCTTCATTTTGATGAAGAGATGGAGCTTAAAGATGCCCTTGGAGTGAAGAGAGCTGCCAGGAGGAAACTCAAGCATGAATTAGGAATTGAACCTGAGCAGGTAAGCGGATTTCTTCATTGTGCTCGTTCCAGAAGATTTGTTCCAATATCCAACCATTTATAGGCAAATAAAGAGTTAAGTAGGAGAATTAAAGGTAATACAAAGTTTTAGTAAATTTTAAAAATTGACTGGATATGGTGATTCTTTACAATTTTGATATATTTGGATGCCCTTTGGGATGTATTATAAGCAATAGAAAATTTAGCCCCTAAAACAGTGCTTTCGGGAAAAAATTAATATCAAAATTTACCGGTGCTTCCGGTAAAAATCATGCGACCATGAAAATCTTAGAATATGCAGTTGTGATATATAATTTCCAAACGGGGATAGCCAAATGGTTGATTTTAGTCAAGAAACATTGATTTATAGCTAAATTACTATCTTGACCTTGAGAGGGAGCTATACACATAAAGGGTCTATTATTTACAATTCCATCACTTTAGACTCGATTTCAACCGCGACAACGATCGCTGAATATTGTAAGATTGCATCTTCCAATATGTTCATTTGAACCAAATTCATGACCCTATACCAAAACTTTGTATTACCTTTAAAGTGATGGTTGAGTTCAGTTTAGATGCTAAATGACTGGTGAGCTATCTCATTTTGTGCATGCCAGCTTTTAAGAATATCATAGTAGAAATATATCATGAGAAGGATCGCTCTTCAAATGACATGTACTCAAACAGTGGTCCTCTACGAGGCAGAAACTAACAAAGATGTCTTGATCTTCTTCTTAGGTACCCATTGAAGGCTTGACATACCTGACAAGGGTCCAACACCAGACAGCATCTGCTGAAAGTTTCTCTGTCTTTGGTTTTACATTTCAGGCAGTTCAGGTACCAATGGAAGGCTTCCCACACCTTGCAAGGGTCCACTACCAACCAGGATATAATGAATTTCTTTCCAGTTTTTTAATCTTCTTTTCAGGTTCCCTCTGAAGGCACGGTGGACTTGACAACAGGCAGCATGAAACAAATGTGTCTCTGTCTTTGATTTTTTTAAATATTCAGGTACCTTTGGAAGGCTTCACATAATTTACAAGGGTCCACTGAGAGACATCATCTAACATGAGGTCCACTAGGAGGCAGCATCTAACCTTGATGTTGTATTTTTGTATAATTCCGTTCAGGTACCCATTGAAGGCTTCACGTACCTTACAAGGGTCCACTCAGAGACATCATCTAACATGGGGTCCACTAGGAGGCAGCATCTAACCTTGGTGTTGTATTTTTGTATAATTCCGTTCAGGTACCCATTGAAGGCTTCACGTACTTTACAAGGGTCCACTGAGAGACATCATCTAACATGGGGTCCACTAGGAGGCAGCATCTAACCTTGGTGTTGTATTTTTGTATAATTCCGTTCAGGTACCCATTGAAGGCTTCACGTACCTAACTCGGGTCCACTACCAGGCAGCGTCTAATGAAGGTATATGGGGCGAGCATGAAATTGACCATGTCCTCATCTTCCAAGGGGAGGTAGATTTGAACCCTGAACCCAACGAGGTCCAGGAGGTGCGCTATGTTAACCCCACCCAGCTCGAGGAGCTATTATGTGCCGGAGACAGGGAGGACGCGAGGGTCAGTCCGTGGTTCGCTAAGATCTCCCGCCATCTCCTCATTCCAAAATGGTGGACAAAACTAGAAGATGTCAGCAGCTTCCAAGACCATGAAACAATACACAGGTTATAGTGTCATACTGTATATTATGTTATAGGAAGTGCTCCTTTATGTAATTTATAAAAGTGATTGCATCTTCAGGCTGAAGAGGGTGCTACCAGGGGGATGTTTCACAAAGATCCTAAGTTGGACTTTACAATAATGGAAAGCTGTTAGCATCTTTGAAAATATTTTGTAAAAGTTATTTTTAAAGCATAAATTGTTGATTCAAATCATTCATATTTTCTATTATCAAGGAGATTTCATGTTCTTGAATTTATGAAAAGTCTAAAATGCTTAAATTTTTTCTTTTGAATATATTTTATTTTAAGGTTACAAATGGCTCTCCATAATGTTTAAGTCCAACTTAGAGTTAAGTTTGACTTAGGATCTTTGTGAAACACCCCCAGGCTTGTTTGTGCGCAGTGCTCATGCAGTATTGTGTTAAAGTAATCTTGAACTTCACATGGTTCATTGTGTCAGCACTTAACAAGATTTTCAGAGGTACCTCCTGGCAGCCTGATGATGCCATCGCTCAAAAGGCTAGCATACCAATTTTTATTGAATGTTTACCAAATTTTAAACGTCTTATTTGAATAAAAGACTGATTTTTACTCCTAAATTTCTAGTCCCAGAAAACCTTGGCTCATCCTCATTGTGAATCAAATTTCTCAAGTTACAGGATGAAATGCTTGAGGTCTTGGTCAAAATTTAATTGCAGTATGACCGTTCATGACAACACAAAAAAAAAATCTTAACTATGGGAGCAATTCTTGTTTGTTGCTACAGACCATACCTTATAGAGTGGTGAAGTGTGACGTCATAAAAATCTATTTTTAGAATTTCTCAATTTTTTCTTCATTTTCCGAAAGAGCATAAAAAATAATGTTCAAATGTCGAAAACCAATTGAATATGTTAAGTATTGGCTGCGATATGACCACCTGAATAAATTTATGTCCTATGGGAACTCAGTGTTATATGCTCTGGCTCCTAATGGTTAGGAGTCAGATTTCATTTGGTTTTCGACATTTGGACATTATTTTTTATGCTCTTTCGGAAAATGAAGAAGGAAAAAAAATTGAAAAATTCTAAAAATATATTTTTAAGACGTCACAGCTTCGGTACTCTATACAAAATCTAGTATCCTCTCTTGACTGCATTCTTAACATCCGTAATCTGAAAGGTATTACAAATCTTTTGTATGGGGTCATGAATTTGGTTCAAATGAACATATTAGAAGCATATGCGATTTTACAATATTCAATGATCGTTGTCGCGGTTGAAATCGAGTATAAAGTGTGAAATTGTAGATAATAAACTCTTTATGATGTATAATTGCAACTTCGAGCTGATGAAGACGCAAATTAAGTGGATAATTTGCGATTGGATAGTTCAAATAGCTGGATATTTGGCAATCTCGAGCTGATGAAGACAGGCCTATTGTCACCTGTCATCGCCCCAGTAAACTTGAGGCAGCAGACAGCAAGAAATTGTGTGAATAATCAAAAGTCTGCTGGAGTGGACGAAAGCTTGTCTACTCAATTTCAAGGTTGCTGGTAGAAACTGTTTTTTTTCTTCTAAATAATCAGAAGGGTTAATTTCAAGATTGACAATTTTGATTAAAATTTTCAGGTCATGTGTGTTGTTTTTTTTAAATTTTTTAAATGAGTGGGACAATGATTTGATTTTTCAGCCTCTTCCTCACTTTATCAAGCCAGATTTTTAATTCACTCAGGTCCGAGGTCAGAGATAATTCCTCTAATCAAGTCATGTATTAAGTTAACTTGAAAATATATGTGTAAAATACTTTTTATGCTGCAAGCTGTTGTATGATTATATCATTTGTTTGGTTTCTGTTTAGTAAATGTACCCAGTTTTAAACATTGTTGAATCTCTGTAAGATGGGTAACTTAACAAATGTCTTGAAAAGACCTTACACAAACCTAAGCACTGAATATAATTCTTGGATAATAGCTTCTACATTTTGCTGGCACAGCCTTAGCTTGAACTAAGGATTGAGTTTGGTTCTGGCCATGCAATTGCATCGGGAAAGAAACTGTCTGGGATCAAATTGGGAAGAAAGTTTTTTAATGTATTTAAAGTGACTCGGTAACATTGTTGAAGGTTGATGAAAAAAAATTGCTTAATTTTTGTATAAAATGTTACTTACTATATTCCTTCTACTATACTAACACTCTGACATGCAAACAATCCTGAACAAATTCTCAAACCACAAAGATATCTATGGTTTTCTTTGAAGGCGTCGATGTGAGGCACTCTCTAACAGTGATTAACAGTAAATTCTCCCAACCATTTTTGAATTTTCCCAACCGTTTTTCCATGAGAAAAATACATAAAACAGGCTATAAAAAACAGAGCCATTTTATTGCTTTGTGACGATTTACATTCACCTAAAATGTAATTAAATTGTCCTTGTCTTGATGCTGAACAGGCTTTGACAAGTAGCAGAATAGAAGTAGAATAATATAGTTGGGAGAATTAAGGAATCGATCAGATCAGTTTTTCTCAATTTGTACCATGAATAATGATCCGTTTTCACTCAAATTTTCAGATTATCTTTAATTGTACATCTAGCATTGAAGTCACTACTTTAGCACCACTATCTCTCATCTGAACAATGTTACAAAGTCCCTTTAATGATCGGTGTACATTTAAGAATCAGATACAAAACTGTTACAATTATGATGTACCCAATAAACACAGGAACTCCTGTTTTTTTATTATAATGTGCCATTATCAGGTATTCTTTTTCAATTCAATTAAATCAAAGGTTTATTGTCCGTCATTTCAAAGAATGATATTGGGATAGCTCTCCCAGTTAATTGTTGGTTTATTGGAATTTTTATTAAAATCATAAATATTGATTGAAATTTATGCTGTCAAACTGGACAAGTCATTATTTTGATAATTAACAATCATTGATGTAGGTATATTTTGTTACATATGTAATCTAGTGTGTATGGGAGTGCATGCATGGAGTAGACGTGAAGGTCAAGGATCTAGAGAGGGAGGGGGGGGGGGGGGTGTGAAGAGGGAGAGAGAGAGAGAGAGAGCATAGTCAATGGAGGGGGAGAGAGAGAGAGAGGGGGGGGGGGGTGGTGAGGAGAGATTGAGAGCATAGTGAATGGAGAGAGAAAGAGAGAGGGGGGGGGTGTGGTGAGGAGAGATTGAGAGCATGCATAGTCAATGGAGAGAGAGGGGGGTGAGGAGAGACAGAGCATAGTCAACGGAGAGACAGAGATGAGGGGGGGGGGGGGGGTGTGGTGAGGAGAGATTGAGAGCATGCATAGTCAATGGAGAGAGAGAGAAGGGGGGGGGGGTGAGGAGGGACTGAGAGCATAGTCATTGCAATGGAGAGAGAGATTGAGAGCATAGTCAATGGAGAGGGAGAAAGCCGGAGGGGGAGAGAGAGAGAGAGATGAATGGAGCTGGTGGGCAAAATGTGTGTCTAATAAGCTAGCCTATATTACACACAAATTAATTTATTAAAAAATAAAGAATTTCCTGAAAACTAATGTTTGTAGGTCAAATGGAAGATATTTGTGATTTTCTAGTGGACATCTTCCTGGTATATTGTGTAATAACCCAAGTATTCACGTGCCAAATCTTTGTACGCCCTTACAAAAAAGTACCATGGTAACCACCATGCATTAAAGTCACTGAAGTGAGACTAGGCGTGTCAACAGTTTCTGCCAAGAATCACATGACATATAATGCAATGACATAGTACACACGTCACTCAGGAAGGCCTATGTACATGCACAGCTGATCAAAGGAGAAGGATCGTTCAAGAACCAAGAAGAAACACCAGCAAAGGCATTTTTTCAATGATGTCACTTCATGGAGGAGACTGTTTCATCTTGTTGTGTCTCGTGGTTGTCGTTTGGATTCAAGATGTAGAAAGCCAGCAGTGCACATCTTTAATTGGAGCAACAAACAAGTGCGCCTGCCAGTATTCGGACGGGAGCACCGGCACAACGAAATCCTTTGATTTTACCCCCCTGGGGAATGCTAACGGACAGGCAGCGTAAGTGCCTCAACTGTCTCAACTTCTCAAAGATATTACATTTTCGGAAGGGATATTTGATTTGATTTGATTTGATTTATTGGTTTCTGCATCTTTTTTCTTTTTTTCATCTTACATTTTCATGAACATAATATGGCTTGATACAATATTTCAAGTGTATATAATTTTTATACAGATAATAAACGATATTAAACACATAGACCCTATATTGAATTTAAACAAATATATTGAATGGAAATTAACATACATTAGATGCAGGAGGGCAACAGTAATAAGCAAAGTAGCTTGACGTGCCGGCAGCCCTCAACTTAGATACAACAATACAAATAAAAATAAAAAAGAGTGACTTGCAGAGAAGAAAAGGAAAGGGGAGAGAAGAAGGAGGAGGAGGAGCGTTGGTAATAATACAATAAATCTCATACAGCTGCTGATTGAATACAGGTTCATTCATGAATGGAAAAAAACGATGCTAGGTCATGGACGATTACACATCATTGTTGAATATATAGTCAATGTACACACGAACATGAATACAGTAGAATTAAACATGACATGATCAATACTTAGACAATAACATAGTTTTAACTGCCTTCTTAAAAGAATACAATGTCCTAAGGTTTCTTATTACAATGGGCAGAGAGTTCCAGATGTCTGGGCCGGCGTGTCTAATGGATTTGAGAGCCAATGCGGTTTTGGGATTTCTTAAATGGAATTTTTCAGTTTGTCTTGTGGGGTAAGAGTGGATGGTTTTATTCAAATTAAACAATGGGGGAAAGTATGAAGGTAGTAGACCATTTTGTAAGCGAAACATGAAAAGTGCTATTTGTAGAAAATTTATATCATCAGCTTTTAGAGTCTTTAGTTTTGAAAACAAGGGATTGGTGTGGTCGCGATAGGAAGAATCAGTACATATACGCATGGCTTTCTTTTGTAACAGTAAAATGGCGTCAACGTTGCTTTTCGAATTTGCCCATATAATGTTACAATATGAAATATAAGGCAGTATCAATGAATTATATAACATAAACAAGATATTTGAAGGGACATAATATTTCAATTTACAGAGAATACCAATATTACGTGAAATAGTATTAGAAATATATTGCACATGATTATTCCATCTCAGATTTTCATTAATCAAAACACCAAGGAATTTCGTGCTATCCTTTTTTTCCAATAATTCACCATCCAAAGTAATTTCAATGTCAGGAATATCGTATTTTTTTCTGTTCTGAAAGTATATATAGTTTGTTTTCTTTAAATTAAGAGACAGTTTATTACTTCTAAACCATTTTGATAATTTTGGTAATTCAGCGTTAATATTTCTTAAAAGGATCTGAAAATCTGAATTGGAACAAAATGCATTGGTGTCATCAGCGAATGAAATATACTGTAGTGCATTTGATGAATTATAAATATCATTTACATATATCAGAAATAACAAAGGGCCGAGGATTGACCCTTGTGGCACTCCACACGTTATAGATACTAATTCTGATTCATTTGAATCATAACATACATATTGTTTTCTATTTGTTAAATAATTTTTAAACCATTGTATAGCAACACCCCTCAATCCATAGTATTCCAATTTACGTATTTATGGTCAAGAGTGTCAAATGCCTTGCTCAGATCCATGAATACTCCAATAACATGCTTATGATCAGCTAAGGCATTTGACACTCTATCAAATAATTGTAACAAAGCTACATGTAACTCCGTTGAATGAAATTTTCTAAAACCATATTGATTTTCATACAACAGTTCATTTTTTGTTAGAAAATCATACAGTCTATTATAAGTCAGTCTTTCTAAGACTTTAGAAATACTTGGTCAGATAGAAACAGGTCGGTAACTTGAAACTAGAGAAGAGTTGTCTTTTTTGTATATTGGAATTACTTTTGCTATTTTCAGAGAGTCCGGAAATACTCCCGTTGTAAGTGATAAATTACAAATGTGTACTAGAGGCGTTACAATACTTCCTACTATTTGTTTTAAAAAGTGCGTACTCATCTCATCATGACTACAAGAATAACTAATTTTCAATGAATTGACAATATTCAAAATTTCAACACAGTTTGTACATTGTAGGCATAAAGAAAAACGATTTATCACATGGATTTGAAAGGAATTGTAAATAATCTGAACCATTGGAATTTATTTTCGATGCCTGAATAGGGCCTGCATTTACGAAATACTTATTAAAACAATCTGCTATATCTTTAGAGTCTGAAATTATCTGACCATCATTGTTAATATTAATTTTTGACATGGTCTTTTGCTTTCGAAGAGTTTCTTTTATGACTTTCCAGGTAGATGCCATATTGCCGTTAGCATTTTCAAATTCTTTTACATAGTACATTTTACGTGATACTTTAATTATTGTTGTTAATTTATTCCTATAACATTTATATTCGTATTTATTCTCGTTACTTGGATCACGGAGACTACGTTTGTACAATATATTTCGTTTCTTAATTGAACGAAAAATTCCCTTCGTTATCCATGGATTTTGTGGTTTTCTTTTATTTTTATTTTGTTTAGTCTTTGGAATACATCTATCAAAGTGGGCTGAAAATATATTCCAAAATAGTCCATATGCAGTATCAGTTTCATTACAAGATAGTACATCATTCCATGTTTCCATCATTAAATCGTTATTTAAACATAATATATTTTCTGCTTTAAATTTACGAGACATTGATATTTCCTTTTGTTTTGTACGAGACATGAGATCATTATTACAAATAAGAAATATAGGAATGTGATCAGATATTTCACTGTAAACTAGACCAGCATTAATATGTTCAGTAACAACATTCGTAAAAATATTATCTATTAAAGTTGATGTGTTCTGCGTAATTCTTGTAGGTTTATCAATGTAGTAATGCTGCTGGCTGTCCTTCCGTCCGTAACAAATCTAGTTTCTGTTCGATAACTTTAGTAATAATTTCTAATTTTGACGGATTTCTATGAAATTTTGGCGCTAGAGTAGGTCTAGACCGAATTTTCCGTCTCTTTCGTTCGTTAGCCTCTTATTGGGGTAGGGTCGGCTCTCTCTTTAGAGACGGAAACCGTCTATACACATTCCCTTGATAACGCCACGGCCATTTCAGGTCGTAGCGTTTTGCCCCCAAAATCCCCCAAAATGTCATTTTACCTCATGCATTGATTATTTAAAATTAGGAGAAGGTTATACTACATTGGTTCTACTTACCAACTTGACTGAAATAATCCGTTTAATGGTCCCTTTTAAGGAAATTATGGGTCAAAATCGACATCCATGTTGAAATCTTGCAAGCCATGTTAAACTCTCGCTGCGCACGGAGTCATCTAAATCAATCTCATCCCTTTTAGTCTACGCCGAAGGCAAAACGGTTATGAAGGAAAAACTGTGATAACGCCATTACGAACGTGTAGATGGCGCACAGTTTTTTGCACAATGCATTGACAATCAGTGCTTTATTGCGCAATTGTGTGAAAATATTGCGCAAATACGCTTTGCTCCTTGGCAACAGAGATACCACGCACAAATCTTGTGACAGAATTCTAATCGGCGCGACAGAATTCCGGGCAGAAAAATGCTCCGTCTTCTTTCGGAAATATTTTTCTTATCATCATTCTTTATTTTAAGTGACTATAAAATCCTGTTAGAGGAATAATTTTCTTTTCTTTTGATGGGTAGATTGCAAAATAAAAGAAGTAAAAATTCAAAATATTAGTGATTTCCCCTTAAGTGACCGAATACGGGGCACTCTACCCCCTACGAGGATCCGGATAATAATAATTCAGTCTGTAATTTCCGGCTGATTCACAAAACTAAATATAATGTCCCTGATTTTCCTTCGTTGTGTCTTGTTTCGCTATTGTTTAATAAATCGTCTAGTTTCAACTCGTGATCCATCAAAACAAAGATGGTACCAGTAACATAATCCTGTATCTTACCTTTCAGATTTGCATACAAGCGAGCAACTGATGGTTACGATTATGCATACAACCCATGCTTTCCCTTCTCTGATGCCTCTTGTCAGAACACTGCAGTAAGTTGTTGTTGTTGTTGTTTGATATGATCGGCATTTCATTCTTTTTTTAGAACATTTACGCCTTTCACTTTTTTTTCTTTTTTTCTTTTTTTTGGTACTATTTGTAAATTCATACTCTTCTCTTTTTTTTGGATAATATAATCCATCTACTGGTCCATGAAAACCCCTCACCGCAATTGGCACCTTCCTGCCAGACCGGCGCAGTACATTGCACAATCTTCTCGGCCATCATTGGCGTAGGCAACTTTGGTGCCGGTGAGAGGATTCTGGGGTAGATCTCCAGAGTCTCTTGTTTGGGGTTTACAATCAGCCGTAGACGAGAGTCTTCATGCATGGGTGATTGTCAACGAAACAGAGTTAAGTCTTTTGTCAAATCTGCTTTTTGCTACGGCAGGCACCCAGTGAAAACGAATTCGTTTGTTAAAATTATGAAAATGGAAGGGCTACTTTAAAGAAACAGAACTTTGTTATTCCTCGCTCATTTTTCCTGATTGAGGTGTCATATGAAAGGGCAGAAACTCAACTTTCTAGAAATGTGAATTTTTCTTCGAAATTCAGATACCGCCCGCCAAATGTCTTTTTGGTTTCCTTCCTTCAAATTGCTTTCAATCACTCATGCGTGAAATAAGCATCATCTGAGTAGCACCAACTGAAAGAGGAGACTCTAAGCTTTCCAAATATGTATCATTTATTAATTATGGTTGTGATTAAGTTATGATAAAACATCGAAACTTCTCGGTTTCGTTTTTTCTGGGACGCACTGTATATGAAGGCTGTTATTCCATTTTGATTTTACGAGTTCTATGCTTTTTAGTCTCATTTCACTCGGGTTATCATTTTTTCTTATTGATTCAGTCAGTTTATTTGGGGAGTGTAGTTGTGCCAGGGGGGGGGGGGATAGGAAGTGGTATTACTTTTTCCGTGATTGACTCTTATTATTTTTTCATTTTTTATTCTCAATCCAAAAGGTTGTCTCACTTTTTTATTCTTTAGCTTTTCAAATTGCCAACAATGACTCATGTGAACATGATATATGTATCTACATGTATAAAGCTGTATGGCCTTTGAGTATGGTGTCAGTTTCTCTGATAAAGGGCTTAACAAAAGCCATGGTTCTGGATTAAACAAAGAGATTCTAGAGGGATTTGAGAAGCTCAACCCCCCCCTCCCCATTGTTATCTACAAGTTTCCATGCCTCCCCTCCTTATTTATAACTCGTGAAGCACACATAGAAAATGAATGCAAGATCCCTTAACCCCACCCCTCTCCCGACTCCCATACCCCAAAGTTATATTAAAGTTATTCTAATAGAAATGCTCTTGTAAACAAGGGGGAGGGACTACCATGAGTTACAGTCATATTTTATTACTATATTGATAACAACTCTGAAAAGAATATGGTTATGTTGAGGATCCTAAATCGTCAACAGGTTCCTTTGCTTTTTAAGCAAGATGTACTATTAAACCAAAATCCAATATAAGCAATGTACAGGTTTTAACTATTTCTTTTACCCTGTTAAATTGAACAAAGTATCAATAATCATGGCCCACCATGTGGGTTCTTAATGTGCAGAGGTGGGGACTCCCCTATACATGTACATGGGGCTTCCATTTAATGTCCTATCCGAGGGATGGACTTTTTTAAAACTGTAACTTGGTATGATTCTATGAGAAGGGAGCGGCATGTTTACACACAACAAAAGTTTGAGTCATCTGCCTAGGTATGACAACCAATTTCAATACATTAGAAATTACCAAACCTATCTCTTTGGATATATTTCTGTTTTCTAGGCATGTCAAGTGTCTGCTGATGGAAAGTACACGTTCCCGATCGGTGATCCAATTACTGTAGCATATTCAGTGGAAAATTCAGACATTGTCCTTACATATGGTCCAGCTGATACTGGTGGCAGGTATGTTACTTCAGGGGGGAGTTTCACAAAGAACATAAGTTGAACTTATATCTAAGTTGGATTTATCTCTAAGTTGGAATTAACAATTATGGAAAGCCGTTAGCATATTTGGAAATATTTTGTAGAAGTTTTTTAAAGGCATATAATGTTGATTCAAATCTTTCATATTTTTTTGTATTCTCAAGGAGATTTCATGTTTTTAATGTGAAATTTATGAAAAGTCTAAAATGCTTGAATTTTTGCTTTTGAATAGGTTTTTATTTTAAGACTACAAATGGCTCTCCATAATGTTCAAGTCCAACTCAGAGTTAAGTTCGACTTAGGATCTTTGTGAAACACCCCCCAGACATGTTACTTGTACACAGGAGCATGCAGCTCCAGTTGCGATTGAGCCGTATCAATCGCAGGTCCTCCAATCGCTCGCAAGTTTGCAGTCTCCTATCTCTAATAAATAGGTCCTCGAAAAATACCCCTAAACGATATACCAGCGCGTACAGCAGGATTTTGAGCCATTTTGAAAAAGTACCCTTTTTATGCCTCCGCTACAGAGTAGCCGGAGGCATTATGTTTTTGGGTTGTCCATCCGTACGTCCCGTTCTCGTGATTGCGTTATCTCAAGAACCGATTGATGGATTCCCCCCAAACTTGGGTCATGTACATGTATGTATCTTGCAGAGCCAATGAATTGATTAGATTTTGAGGTCACAAGGTCAAAGGTCACAGGGCTCATGTATGCAAAAATCATTAGAACCGATGGACTGGTTACCATTAAACTCAGGGCATGTGTGTATTGCAGAGCCAATGAACTGATTAGATTTTGAGGTCACAAGGTCAAAGATCAACTTGGGGTCAAACATGTATATAAAAAATAGCCTGTAATCATGATATTCTGAGAACCTTCTCATGGATTACAATCAAACGTGAATTCTAAAAATTGCTTCCGTTTTGGTTTATAAAATTGCTCCATGGCGGAGGCATCATTTTCGACTGCGCACAGTCGAAGGTCCATCTAGTTCTTGAAAATGGGCCAAAATGGATGTTTCTGAATCCCTTTAAACACGTTTTCTTGGTCACGTATGCTTACAGTATTTATATTTGACCAAGACTCCCGAGCATGTACAGTTGTATTGTAAACACATGACAAATGAATGGTGTGATTCACCCAAGAGAAATGCGCTGAAATATAATATACATGTAATGAGGACTTAATGTAAGAGTTTGCAAATAAATCTCATCAAAAGTCCTCCGGTTTGCAAAGAGGGATTAAAGCCTCACTGCACTGATTATAGCTACTTGCGCCCTCTTTATAGCAAACAATGCATAATCGGTGCCTGTTGGTCCCCCATGATCCTCTTTTTCTTATGTTAACTGAGAGCTGATTTGATGAGATAACCACCTGTCAGTGACCTTGCAGGGAGTTCTAATCCCCCCTGGCCAAACCAGTACAGACGGGCTTTAAGAAAATAGATTTCCATGTCAGTAAAAGACCCAAATATAACCAGATATAACATTTTCAACGGTATATTTTGGGTCAAGTTTCGAGAAGGCAGTTCATGAGAAGAGAAATGTAAATTCATTAAAAAGGTTGCAGAGATGCCAACCAGTACGATTAAATTATCATTTAGTGGTAGTGTCGAGTTTTCGTGCAAATCTGAATTTTTTTTTCCTCTCCAAAATTTTTTTAGGATACTTGGTCTGTTTTTTTGTGTCAAGAGGTTGGCATCTCTGGGTTGCACTTGAAAATTATGTACTAGTGTCACCTATTACAGTATTGAATCATAGGAGAGTAACTGTTGTATTATTTGATTTTTGTTTGTTCCACCAGGATAGCTGTTGTTAATTTTCACTGTGATGCAAGCGCATTGACAGAGGCGACATATACCCCCCTGGGTGATAAACCTGTTGTAAACACATATGTAAGTACTCCTTGCAGATGACCTTTGCCTCCTGCCCCTTCCTATCCCTGTGTCCACACACAACATTTTCCGTGATTAGTTATACCGTTTCGGGATAGTTATACGATGAAATTGTGTGTGTGGACACTTACTAACAATACGTCTTATAACAAAACGTTGTATAACGAAACGCGGGTTTGGGCATCGTTTCGAACTAGAAATCACGCCTAATCACGGAATGTGTTGTGTGTGGACGTAACTAGTATAACTAGTCAAACTAGAACGGTATAACTGGGCAGGGCTTAATGTGACCTCGCGCGAAAGGAGACCTGACCTCTCATCTCCGCTTCCATTTCATGACCGCAGTAGCAAACTGAGCACCTATACAACATTTTGCTGTAGAGTTTCGGGATTACTTTCTTGTGTGTGTGGACAACCTGGATTTATACGATGATTCTTTATACGACGTTTCGTTACAGAGTTTCGGGATAAATTGTTTTGTGTGTGGACACGCTGTATAATAGACCATTGTCATAATAAACCTTCGATACAAATTTTTTAATTCAAGACTGTTACAGATAATTTGCACAAATATCAAATGCTTAATAATGACATCATCACACGCCGAATCCTAAGCTAATAGATACCGGTACATGTACATGTAGGTGCAATTCATAACGTCACAATGCAGTACAGGTACACAGTTTTTATGTATAATGTCAGATGTTAGCCTTTTTGCTTATTTTCCAAGAGGCTCGTGTGAAATGGATTTCATCACATGACACGCAATGGGCCAATCTATTGTGCTGATTTGTTTTATGACAAATATAATGTAAACTATTTCTAGTCACATCAATTTTTTTTTTTAAGGGAGGATTTCAAGAACATTATTCTGTATTCTTTTGAATTGTTCTTTGTTTGATTGTAGAAGTTCACTATTCATTTCATTTCATTTCATTTCATTTCATTTATTTAACCAGTATAAAAACAATTTACAATGAAAATACAATATACAATATACAATATAATGGTTAGGACCCCTAAGAAGCAGAAATCTGCTTGTAATCGGGGCCCTGCAAACAAACAATAACAAGATAATGCACATAAATTAACAATACAAAGTAAAGGACTTAAATAATACAAGTACGCACCCGTACATCAACACACACGCACGTTCATAAAGGTTACAGAGAAAGAATAAAAGGAAGCGAAAATAGGGCAGAAAGAGATAAAAGTAGAAAAAAGATGGGAAAGAGAAGTACTTACTCAAGCATGGATTGAAAAATACTTTTTTTATACATTGATTTAAATCTGGTAATTGTAGAACTGGATCTTAGGTCATAATTCAAGGAATTCCACTCCCGTACCCCAACAAATGATATAGAATTATACATTAAAGTTGAACGACAGAGTGGGTGATGTAAATTTAGACGTTGACGAGTGGGGTAATTGTGAACAGAAGAATTTGTTTGGAACATATTATTAAAAACAGATGGTAACAGGTTTTTATGAAATTTAAACATAAATATACATGTATTAAGTTTGATCAAATCATATACAGGAATAATTTTCAGTTTAATAAATAATGGTAAACTTGGAGACATATAATGACTATTTGTTATTAACCGAGCTGCACGTTTCTGTAACATATAAATCTTGAACAGTTTTGTTTTGTAAGTATTACCCCAAATGATATTGCAATAATTTAAGTGGGGAAGAAGTGTTGCATTGTAAATATTCATTAATATGTTCCTTGGGAGAAAATTCTTTAGTCTAGATAAAACACCAATACTTCTAGAAATTTTAGAACAAACATAATCAATATGACATTTCAAATCTAGAGTTTCTTCAATATTAGTACCTAAAAAAATAACACTTAGTTCTCGTTCAATATTTACATTCGCTATTTTAACAGGATTGGTGACATTTGGAACTTTCTTTTTCTTTGTGTGAAAAATTACATATTTTGTTTTTTCATAATTCAAAAATAATTTATTACATTTAAACCAATCATTCAATTTTATTAACTCTTCATTTAAATTAGAAACTAAGCATGCTACATTAGAATGAGAATAATATACAACCGTATCATCAGCAAATAATGAAAACATAAGTAATTTGGATGAACTGATTATATCGTTAATATATATGATAAATAAAAGTGGTCCGAGAACCGATCCTTGCGGAACTCCAGTATTTACATCCATATAATCAGATTCGACACCATCGACCACCACATATTGTTTTCTATTAAACAAATAATCAGAAAACCACTGATGAGGTATACCGCGTATACCGTAATGGTACAGTTTTTTAAGTAAAATATGGTGGTCGATGGTGTCAAATGCCTTAGATAGATCCATAAACAATCCATAACAAAACATTCCATTATTAATTTCATGTAGAATATTTTTAGTAAAATTCACAATACTCAGATCAGTGCTATGGTTTTTACGAAAACCAAACTGTTCTGAAATAAGAACATTATATTTCAGTAAATAATCATATAACCTTTTATGCATTACTTTTTCCAACAGTTTTGCAAAAACAGAAAGCAAGGCTATGGGTCTATAATTTTCTATATTTTTAACATCATTTTTTTTGTATAAGGGTACAATTTTGGCAACTTTTAATTTATCTGGGACGATTCCACTATTTAAAGATTTATTAAATATGTCACACAATGGATTAACAAAAAAATGAATACAATTTTTAACAACTTTAGGTGAAATGCAGTCAGGTCCACTTGACTTATCTATTTTTAACAGAGAAGACAGTTTGATAATTTCATGAATACTTGTTGATTTAACATAAAATGAATTTAAATTTGGGTTAACAAGGTATTTATCATCAGAGTAATTAGGTGTTTGAATCGATTTTGATAGTTGTTTACCTATGTCAATAAAAAATGTATTAAACTCTTTTGCAATATCTTTCCTACTACTCATTTTTATATTTCCGTGATACATATTTTGAGGTAGTTTATTCTGTTTCTTTTTGCCAAGTATCATATTGATCTGCGACCATGTTTTTTTCATATCATTCTTTAAGTTATAAAACAAAGACTCGTAATATTTCCTCTTTGACGCTCTTATGATATTTGTTAATTTATTTTTATAATCTAAATATTTTCTTTTATGATTGACACTAGGTCTTTTTAAGCTATTTTCATATAATCTATGTTTACGTTTCACTGAATTCAATATTACTTGCGTAATCCAAGGTTTCCGTAAATTACCATTGAGTTGTTTGACTAATTGAATAGGAAAACAGTTATTATAATTGGAATAGAATTTTGTAAAGAAGATATCATAAGAGTCATTTGCACTTTCACAAGTATAGACCTCTGACCAGTCAATGGATGATAAACTTTCTTTAAACATTGACATTGATGAATCATTAATAATGCGTCTTTTTATGTATTTGTTACCATTCTTTACAATTCTTTCACTTGCAATTGAAAATACTGGAAAATGATCAGATAGATCACTATAAATGAGTCCTGTATATTTTTCTTCCTGTATGGTATTTGAAAATATGTTATCTATCAAGGATGCTTTATTTTCAGTAATGCGAGTTGGCTTTGTTATTAAGGGAAGTAAATTAAAAGAAAGCATCATATCTAAAAAGTCATTTGTTTTATTATGGATACCATAATTAAGCAAGTTTACGTTAAAGTCCCCTAAAATATATAAGTCTTTCTTCTCACTTTCCAGTATTTCAAGAACACTTTGTATTTTCTCATTGAAACAAGATATGTCAGAATCTGGTGGACGATAAACGCAACCAACAACTATAGGTTTAGGTTTCTTACTTATTTCAACAAATATAGTTTCATAATTGCATTCAGAATAAGTAAATTCGGGTAGTACTTTGTAATTGAGATTATTTTTCAAATATAGTGCAACTCCGCCACCAGATTTTGAGGGTCTACACTTAGAAACAAGAAAATATCCGTCTAGGTTATACATATTAATTTTTGTAGAAGAATTGAACCAGGTTTCAGTTATGGCAATGATATCAAATTCAAATTGAAGAGATGACAGAACAATCTGTAATTCATCAAAATGTTTCTTTAGGCTTCTAGCATTCAAATGGAGAAGTGACAGTTTAGAATTCAATTTACTAAATTTTAGACTAAATTCTTCACAAAATGTGTATTGACATGAATTTTTAAGTTCAAGATCTAAATCAAAAAGGCTATGCACTGTAATTAATCAAAGGGCATAGGCATAGAATATGAAAAATATCATATTTGCATGTAGTCAGTTTAATGTATATCAGTTTTCACAAATTTGCCAGTTCACTCACGGAATGTATTATCTTTCTTGTCGTCTTCCCATTGGTAGCTTTGGTCAATACAATTATCCTTCCATCTGATGACCATGCGGCATTCAGCCTATTGTTCTGTTCAACCTCCTTTTTCGCTTCCTTCAACAGAAGTCTATTTGCTGCTGTCAGGTCCTCCTCAACCCCCTTTCTTTTTCCTTTCAGCAGTTTGCGATTCCTGATCATGAGATTGCGGGCGCGATAAGAGGTGAATTTCACTATGATGGGTCTTGGTGGGAGTGACTTGCTGTCTTTCCCTCTCGTAGGTTGATGCGGAAGACCTACTCGATGCGAACGATCGATGTCCTCAGCTCTCAGATTGAGTTGGAGATCGTTGATGGCGAGGTCAAGCGTCAAGGCATCGGTATTCTCATGGGACTGCTCTGGGATTCCATAGAGTCTTACACAGTTCCTGCGTGAGTATTGCTCTGCATCATTCAGTCCTTGATGAAGTGCACGGATGTCTCCGATGATGCGCGACTGTTTCTCCTGGAGATGATCTATGATGGCTGCCTTTTCCCTGACATCGTTTTCTAGCTTGAGTATATTTCCCTCAGCCTTCTCCAGCTTGTCCCGAAGCTCCGTCATCTGCTTCATGATTGCATCAGTTAGCGATGCCTGGAACAGGTCCCGAAACTCGAGACTTCTGAAGTAGTCCTTAACTTCCTCGCCGATCTGGTCACAATGATCAGTAGGGTATACATCAGAAGAAGCAGCAGCCATGATTCTCTCAGATTTCTTCCCTTTAGGTGGCATGGCTCTTGATACTTCAGCTTATGGAATAAAGCTAGAAGTCAATGGACGGGACACTTACTTTCAATAGGGTTATTCAACCCAAGCACCTTAGCTTGAATAGAGCTCAGAGTCTTTGGTGTCTGTATAAGCTGATATCAATGGGTGATTAGTCACAAAATAAGCTCTCAAAAGGTTGTTAAAGAAGATTTTCCAGGCGCATATATTGTACTGGTTGGCATATAAGCAAACTTAACAACCATACAAGTGAATATATGGGACCAGTTGTGAAGATAGGAGTCCAATACCAAGTTGAGTCCTCCAGGAGAAACAGTTAATTTTACAGTAAAAACTACAATTACTGCATGTTTTTTGCCCTATAAATTAATCCACAAGGCTAGGTACACATGTCCATCAGCATTAAAAAGTTCATAATGCTCAAAAAGTCACAAAAACGCATCAAATTACTTGCCATACGAGATCAGGTATGTCTCCTCAAAGCTCATTCTTGATATGAAACTATTGGCACTTGTCTGGCAATTGGCATTTTTACTAAGATATTTTTTCACTATTTACGGGGGGCTCGGGGCGAATTAGCCCCCAAAATGCCAAAAAGAGCCTCCAAAAGTCGTAAAAGAGCCCCCAGACTTTGCATAGAGTTCAATGCAAAACAAATTAAAGAGTGTTATTTTCATGCAAGCAAGATTGAAAAGTAGCCCTCAAAATTTTAAAAATAATTTCCCCCCTGTTTTGATGTATTCTCTTTTCTTTTGAAATGTTCTTTGTTTGATTGTAGAAATTCACCATTGGCACTTGTCTGGCCTGTCTGACTGATGTACCAAACTGCCATGGATCAGGGGGCGGGGGAGGTGGCGGACTCACAGGCGGAGGAATTTTATGTATCATGTGAGTAACAAAAATGGAGACCCATTGAAGCTTCTTATCTTGCACTCATCGGAGTCAATCGCGAGAGAGCCCAAATCAGGCTATTTAAGCGGAAGCTAAAGGAAGAAAGCATGCAATAGATATTGCTGCTTTTGCTTCATTCTTGCGATTAAAGATAAAGGTGAGTTCTGGTCATCCGATTGCATTGTAAAAGAAAAGGTGTGGAATGGATCAGAAAAAGTTGATCATGTAGCATGTAAGTATTGGTGTGTACTGCAAAGTTCTGGAGTCATCAAAATCGTGATAAATTTGGCCCAGTCTTGGTAAAGCAACAAGCACTGTACACAGAAAGATGTATATGGGACTTCACAAATGGTGTCGGGGGCTACTAACCTTGATTTCCTAATCTTTCTACGCTCATTTCTCAGCCAGTATACATCTTCTACTAAAATTGTTTGGCAAATGACATTTATTTGTAATCTTGAACATTCAGTGTAAGCTTCTTTTGATTCTGTGAGAATTCATTTTCTTTTTTTTGAGCCAGAACTCACCTTTATCTGTAACTCTGATGAGCGCAAGAAGAAAAGCTTTAGTGTATGTCTGTATTCGTTGCTATTCTCTGATTTGTAGTACCAATCATCCCCTTAAATTAAAGGAAACTTCACCAAAGAAAAAAAGAGCTTGAGCTATTCTGAGAAAAATACTGTTGGTTGTATACATTGTTGTAGGTACCTTGTTCCAAAAATATTTGTAGGCAGTGAAAAAAATACATGGTGGCTCGGGGCGAATTAGCCCCTGAAATGCCAAAAAGAGCCCCCAAAAGTCGTAAAAGAGCCCCCCAAAATTTGCATAGAGTTCAATGTAAAACAAGTTAAAGAGTGTTATTGTCATGAATAAAGCTTGAAAAGTAGCCCCCAAAAAGTTTTAATTATTTTTTTCCCTGTTTGTAGTTGTACCACAGGGATAACAGATGGTCCAATCTTATTTTCATCTCTCTTCCTTTTCTCTTATTACAGATTCACAGTACTGTTGGTTGTGTACATTGTAGGAGGTGTCCTGTTTCAGAAGTTTGGCCGTGGTGCGACGGGTAAAGAGCTGTTTCCAAACTATGCATTCTGGTCAGACTTCCCAATATTGGTTAAGGTATGCCTTACAATTTTCTCACTAAATCTTAATGAAAGAGCAAACATTTGAATTGACCGTTCTGATCAGTAAAACATTTTTCTGAATTTTGTGTCGGCCTTTCATGAAAATCTGTTTTTAGGATATGCAGTCAGTTTTTTTGTGTCAAGAGGTTGGCATCTCTGCGAAGGAGGGAATTCCTCAACTATCTGATGTTTTGCAAAGTATTCTTTTGTCTGATGCATGCGACTTGGCAATATTGAATCCCTGACCTGAGCCCCGTTTCACAAACTTGTCATCAGTGACAAATGACCTTTTTTGTTAAAAGCTAGTGAAATCCTTGCTTCTGATTGGTTATCAGCAGATTTGTCCCTGATTTCTGTCATTTTTCATTGAAAAAAGGCTTTGTCAAACGGGTCCCAGATGTAATCTTTTGAGAACCAGTAAGGTGTTTACGCTGTGTTTGATATAAGTATACTATTATATTTTGTTAATGTTTTATATGGCTTATACACAATGAATGTAGATTTTTATATATTTTTGTCTAAAAGTGTACTTTTATCATTATTATTATATTATTTTTCAATTGTATTATATCTTTTTGATTATTTATTTTTCATCACTTTATGTCCATAAGTAGATGAGAGTATATAGAGTGAATGCATTGCAATTTTTGTCATGTTAATAGAATTTACATTTGAGGTTTTGTATGTCATAAGCGTAACAGAGGGAGACAGAGCTAATGAAAGAGAGAGAGAGAGAGCAAGAGAGGGAGGGAGAGATGGAGCGAGAGGGAAAGAGGGAGGGAGACAGAGAGAGAGACAAGAAAGAGATTAGAAATGATGTAAGATAATGTGATTTTTAAACTGATTATTTTTGATTAATTTGCAGGATGGCGTCATGCTTCTGGTAGGATTATGTAGAGGAGGCAGCAGCACTGCATCCGACTATGAGAGTATTAAATAAAGTAAGTCTAGCTATATGTTTCTGATAGCATTATGAGGCTATTAATCCTATGAGCAGGGGGAGGGGGGGGGATATACCCCCACCCCCGGTGACTTTTGCCACTATACATTTGAGGGTTAACAAATGTAGCATCATAATTAAAACATCTCCATGCCAAGTTTCAGATTTTTTTGTCACTCCATAGCAGAGATCTGGTGGTAGGATTATGAAGCTAATAAATAAATTAAGTCTATATGTTTCTGATAGGATTATGAAGCTATTAAATAAAGTAAGTCTAGCTCATATGTTTCTGATAGGATTATGAAGCTATTAAATAAAGTAAGTCTAGCTATATGTTTCTGATAGAATTATGAAGCTATTAAATAAAGTAAGTCTAGCTATATGTTTCTTATAGGATTATGAAGCTATTAAATAAAGTAAGTCTAGCTATATGTTTCTGATAGGATTATGAAGCTATTAAATAAAGTAAGTCTAGCTCATATGTTTCTGATAGGATTATGAAGCTATTAAATAAAGTAAGTCTAGCTATATGTTTCTGATAGGATTATGAAGCTATTAAATAAAGTAAGTCTAGCTATATGTTTCTGATAGGATTATGAAGCTATTAAATAAAGTAAGTCTAGCTATATGTTTCTGATAGGATTATGAAGCTATTAAATAAAGTAAGTCTAGCTATATGTTTCTGATAGGATTATGAAGCTATTAAATAAAGTAAGTCTAGCTATATGTTTCTGATAGGATTATGAATCTATTAAATCAAGTAAGTCTAGCTTTATGTTTCTGATAGGATTATGAAGCTATTAAATAAAGTAAGTCTAGCTATATGTTTCTGATAGGATTATGAAGCTATTAAATAAAGTAAGTCTAGCTATATGTTTCTGATAGGATTATGAAGCTATTAAATAAAGTAAGTCTAGCTATACGTTTCTGATAGGATTATGAAGCTAATAAATAAAGTAAGTCTATATGTTTCTAATAGGATTATGAAGCTATTAAATAGGGTAAGTCTAGCTCATATGTTTCTGATAGGATTATGAAGCTATTAAATAAAGTAAGTCTAGCTATATTTTTCTGATAGGATTAGGAAGCTATTAAATAAAGTAAGTCTAGCTATATGTTTCTGAAAGGATTAGGAAGCTATTAAATAAAGTAAGTCTAGCTATATGTTTCTGGTAGGATTATGAAGCTATTAAATAAAGTAAGTCTAGCTATATGTTTCTGATAGGATTATGAAGCTATTAAATAAAGTAAGTCTAGCTATATGTTTCTGATAGGATTATGAAGCTATTAAATAAAGTAAGTCTAGCTATATGTTTCTGATAGGATTATGAAGCTATTAAATAAAGTAAGTCTAGCTATATGTTTCTGATAGGATTATGAAGCTATTAAATAAAGTAAATCTAGCTATATGTTTCTGATAGGATTATAAAGCTATTAAATAAAGTAAGTCTAGCTATATGTTTCTGATAGGATTATGAAGCTATTAAATAAGTAAATCTAGCTATATGTTTCTGATATGATTATGAAGCTATTAGATAAAGTAAATCTAGCTACTGTAAATGCGGAAATATTCGCAGTACATTCCTTTTCATGGATTTCGCGCTAAGATCAGCAAGCACGAATTTTAGAACCTCGCGATAATAAAAGCATGATTTATGTGTATTTTGAACGGGCTGAAATGCGTGCAACGTGAATTTAAGAACCAGCAAATAAGTTATGAGGTCGCTCGGCGCCAAAAATTAACCCTGCTAAATTAACAGCCTTTACAGTATTTATCTGAAATGATTATGAAGCTATTAAATAAAGTAAATCTAGGTATATGTTTCTGATAGGAATATGACTTTATCACCTAAAGTCTTATAATGCATCTTGTAATTGACCAACAGCACAGCGTCACAAATCAGTCTAAAGACTTGGACCCTTATAGAGAGGTAACCAATAAGACAGGTTTGACATTAAATAGATACATTTAAAAAACTTAATATTAATAATACTTAAGAAATGCAAGCTTATTTTGTTCTTATCTCCCTCCCCAGATGCTGCATGATGTACTACTTTGGATATCAACAGTGCTACTTCATCTACTAATTATCTGAATTGCTATGCAACGAGGTAGGGGTAAAAGGTTACTAATAATAACAATTGCATGGCAACTGCTGTCAGTATAGATTTGTTGGGGGGGGGGTTGATTCCAGAGGCAGATATCAGCGTTGAACAGCCAGCCATCTATCCATGTCATCGTAGTTCATTTTTATACCAGGGAGACAGATTTAAGGGTCACAAGCTCAATTTTTTTTATCTACCGGTACCCAGGCGTTGATGAGGCCATAATTGCAGCGATGATGAGGATTGATGATGATGATGATGATGTTGATTGCACTTGTTTAAACGTTTATTACTATCAATGACGAATATTAATAAGGTTTAAAAGCCCAAACCCGCTTCATAATTTTTTTAAGGGTTACTTATAATAACAATGGCATGGCAACTGCTGTCATTTTTTTTTTTTTTTTAATTTCGAACAAACTTCAGCCTTTACAGAGGGGCACTTTATACCCTCATGAGTGTGTTTGGTGACTTGTCCACAAAGTAATCTTTTTTTGTGACCCCTATGTCTGTGGCCAACGCTTCATTGCATTAAAGGGTACAATGAAAGTTTGGCTCAATTGTCAGTTGAATCAAATACATAGAGGAAAAAAAAGGGTGAAAGTTTCATCCCAATCAGACGAAAAATGAGGAAGTTGTGGAATATTAAAGTTTCGCATAATTTCATAAACGGTGATATGTATGATCACATTGTATGCGAATGAGGGACTATATGATGTCATCTCCCTCGCTTTTTTTCCCCCATATATTTTGTTCATGAAATTTCAAATTGTTTTTTTTGGGACACACCTGTATAAATATATTCCTTACATTACAGCACTATGATACAGTACCGGTAATGGTGATTTTGTACATATTCCATGAGGATTCAGGCCATGTTTTACACTCTCAGAGGAGAAAAGTGATATATTTGCTAACTTTATGTACAAAAGTTGGATACAGCCTATGTGATACATATCTCTGTTTCATGAAATTGATTATTCCATAACTTTCTTAATTTTCATCTGATTTTGATGAAACTTTGACTGTTTTGATTGTTTCCTATTTCTCTATTTTTTCAAATCAACTTGCAAATTGGCCACATTTACACTTGTAAGTAGTCTGTAAGTAGTGTGATATAGTATAATTTGTTAATGTAATCTACCAGCCAACAATGAGATTGATAGTATGACATTTCCTTGCTGTTGAAATTTGATCCTTTTGTGTTTCAAAATCAGTGTCGAAGTATATATACAATGACAAGCGCAGGTGTATGTTTTGATCTGATTATGCAAAAGAGGCAAAATACTTAGAGCAGATGATACATTTCATTTGTTTCCTTTGAAAGTAACTTTTATGGAATACATAAAAGTATGGACACAAATCCATGTCCCATAGAAACAAAAAGAAGTAGGAAAGCTTGCTAGCCTTTGTTCTCTAGAACTAAGAATTAGTTATTTTGTTACGAATAGATGGTGAAGAATAACACATCACATGTAATGTAAAAAAAAAAAAAAATGTGATCGAGTCTGTGAAGAGTTTTTGAAATGGGTCACATGTAAAGCAGTTTAGCTATAAAAGTGCAATTGAAGATTGATCTAGCATAAACTGTAACATAGAGATTACTATGTGTATGATATTGAAAATAGCAGATAAAGCAAATGTATGTTATGATATTTCATCTCATTTCCGTATGTTTATAACTAAGCATTTATATCTTTGTACGAGGTCACATGATTGATAAATGTCAATGTAGTCTAATGTGTGTGAAATTCACACATTAATGTGTGTGATTCCATTCCTCAAATAACATTCCTTTGCAGTATTTGACTGTACTCCAAACAGATGTATGTTAAGGAATTTTCTGTTACTCTATAGCAGGCCTTCTCAACTAGTTTATTAGAAGCGCCAAAACAAAAATTTATTGAGGTTGAAGTGCCAACCTGTATGTTTGGTGACTGTGTTGCGAGGGAGCGTAGCGACTGAGCCGATATCGGGTGGGGTCCAGCCGTCCAGGGGCGAAGCCCCCGGAAGTTAGTGGACTTTAGGGCCTTTTTAAGGCCCAGATGTGACCTTTTTTTACACCTTTTTATTCCATAAAATATCAATCATAATTTCATATTGAAGTGAAATAATTAGTACAATTCCTGGGTAAAATTTACACTGGAAGTAAATTTATATGTAGTTATTTTGGTGCAATAAAGTAAACACGGATAATGTTAAAATCAAGTGAAAATCAAACTAACAAAATGGCTTGCCTACATTTTGGGCTCAACTTCGACTGCGACTTTTTGATTTTGCTGAGTTTTTAAAATTTTAAAATATAGTTTTTTAATTTTTTCTTTCTTTAATTTTTAACTTTTAGTTTGAATTTTTTTTTAAATTAATTTTTGGGAACAGCTGCGCGCCACTCCGACTGACCGCAAGCGCCACAAGTCTGGTCTACAGGGACAAATTCTAATTTGACACTTTACCACAGTTCATGAAGCCTTGACCAGAGCCTAGCTCTGTCTAGTGCAGCTTAAGTACAGAGCCTATGCAGCATGCCGTTGGCCTAGTCTCACAGTGCAAACGCTGTTACGCAACAACGAGGGACAATCGGCTGAATGCATGATCTGCATTTTAATGAAAAACAGAAGGAAAACAACATCTCTGAAACATCAAAAGAAAATCAATTTAACTTTCAATATCTACCTCTATCAGTACTAGTGACTGTAACTAAAGATTTTTTCTTCAGCAAGTGCAACATGTTCTGTATGACATGTGTTTAATCTTGATTTAAAGGGCCACTCTAACCCAACTAACATAGCCTTTCAAAACATGAATACACCTCTACTTATCAATATTCCAGCCTCTAAATTGACCAAAAAATGAATGTCATAGTTGCCTTTTTAAAGACATTTGACAGGCGCCTGCAGTGACGTCAAATGCGTCATCACCAAAACTGGGCTTTTTTCTTCGCGTTCTGAGTCGTAATTTTTAAAGCTAGATTCCAGAATCACTGATGATTTCTAAGAAAAATCATTGTCATGTTCGGAATTTCCGTCAAAAATTATTCTACATGTCTTTTTTGTCATTTTTTAGCCCGTTTTGGTTAAAGTGGCCCTTTAACAAATACAAATTCACCTTTAAGAGAACTGTTGGTCCTTGCAAATTCTTCTGATTTGAGGAAGCAAGTTTTTTTACTTTTTAGCAGAACCCCGCAAAGATAATACACATGCAAAGTGTAGGTGTCCTCCACATGTTCAACAGTAAAGTTAGTCTGGTAAAGCCAGATCCGTCCTCTTCTGTTTTATTTGTCTCCAGTCACCAGACCATACCTCATAAACCGAAATGTAATTTCATTACCGGTACTTTGCTTTCATGTTTGAAATAGATTTCAGCCTTGTTTCATATGTTCATATATTTTATTATCAACAATTAGATTTAGGTAGATACATGTATATTTTGTTTCATTGCTGCTTAATATATTCAGGAAATGTTCATGTAATGCATTGTTTTATAGCTTTCCATACATCACTTTATTTTATTTCCTTTTTGTTGATTATCTTGTGTTTAGTATGCTGTAACTGAAACAAACTTGATCGCAAGATTTAAACGACAGATCAAGCTACATGTACACATGTAGGGTGATTTTAATGGTCTTTTCCATCTCTCATTGAAACGTGTGAACAGAACAATGCAGTATTATGTGATCGGTACATGATTTCTATAGGATATTTAATCAATTATTGAAAAGCGCTGAAAACAAAAAGTACTAGAGCACATGGGGTATTGAAATTGCCCCCACCCCAAGTTGATTTTTTCTTCTTTTTAAGTCTTTGTGATCGCTTGAACCATCTTTGTCTGGATTTCTTTCTGTGCTGTGTGTGGAAAAAAATCAGAAGGACCATTATTACATGTACACGTAATTAGCATTTCCTACAATACTGCCTTCTTAGATCTTTCAATGTGCAGAAGATTTTACTGAGAGAAATATAAATGTTATATGCACTTAAAACGAGTCGTTTTCATTAAAAAAATAGTGCCTTATATCAGATCCTTAAAAATGTGTAGAAGATTTTACGAAGAGAAATATGAGTGTTTAAAACAAGCAGTTTTCATTCACCCAATACTGCCTTATCAGATCATTATGAGTGCAGGAGATTTTACTAAGAGAAATATAAGTGTTATATGCACTGAAAACGAGCCGTTTTCATTCACCAAATACAGCCTTATCAGATCTTTAAATGTGCAGAAGATTTACGAAAAGAAATATAAGTGTTGTATATATGCACTCATTCACCAAATACAGCCTTATCAGATCTTTAAATGTGCAGAAGATTTACGAAAAGAAATATAAGTGTTGTATATATGCACTCATTCACCAAATACAGCCTTATCAGATCTTTAAATGTGCAGAAGATTTACGAAGAGAAATATAAGTGTTGTATATATGCACTCATTCACCAAATACAGCCTTATCAGATCTTTAAATGTGCAGAAGATTTACGAAAAGAAATATAAGTGTTGTATATATGCACTCATTCACCAAATACAGCCTTATCAGATCTTTAAATGTGCAGAAGATTTACGAAAAGAAATATAAGTGTTGTATATATGCACTCATTCACCAAATACAGCCTTATCAGATCTTTAAATGTGCAGAAGATTTACGAAGAGAAATATAAGTGTTGTATATATGCACTCATTCACCAAATACAGCCTTATCAGATCTTTAAATGTGCAGAAGATTTACGAAAAGAAATATAAGTGTTGTATATATGCACTCATTCACCAAATACAGCCTTATCAGATCTTTAAATGTGCAGAAGATTTACGAAAAGAAATATAAGTGTTGTATATATGCACTCATTCACCAAATACAGCCTTATCAGATCTTTAAATGTGCAGAAGATTTACGAAGAGAAATATAAGTGTTGTATATATGCACTCATTCACCAAATACAGCCTTATCAGATCTTTAAATGTGCAGAAGATTTACGAAAAGAATATAAGTGTTGTATATATGCACTCATTCACCAAATACAGCCTTATCAGATCTTTAAATGTGCAGAAGATTTACGAAGAGAAATATAAGTGTTGTATATATGCACTCATTCACCAAATACAGCCTTATCAGATCTTTAAATGTGCAGAAGATTTACGAAAAGAAATATAAGTGTTGTATATATGCACTCATTCACCAAATACTGCCTTATCAGGTCTTTAAAAATGTGCAGAAGATTTTACGAAGAGAAATATGAGTGTTTAAAACAAGCAGTTTTCATTCACCCAATACTGTCTTATCCAATCATTGTCTTTCAACTATCAGGTTAAAATATAATTGATTAGTCTTTCTAATCATGATTTTTTTCTTTTGGCAGGTACTGTATATGTTTTTTTTTTCTGACTGAGGGTTCATATTTCTGAAAATTAAATAGGGTTAATAATTAAAAAGCCTTCATATTCCCGGAGGCTTATAATTCTGAAAGTGACATAGAACCCTGTATTGTTTTCTCGAAATTACAAAAATTTACTATAATACTTTCAGAATTGCGAACCTTTGGATAAAGAGACCTCTGAAATAATGCAACAAATGTTCGGAATCCTCAACCCTATTTCATTTTCAAAATATGACCCCCTTGAATGGACAATTTGTGTTTAGGCATTACGAATCTTTGGCATTATAAATCTTTGGCATTATAAATCTTTTGAAAAACAGTTACCTCCCATTTTTGCCTGTTACTGCCAATGAATCTCTATTATTTATCTCAATGTCTCAGGATTAAGGAAATCATGTTAGCCGAGATTTGACATTTATTTGAGAGAAAGATGAAAGTTTTGTTTGATTTTACAAGAGCACAGAAGATTTTTTTAAATCTACAAAAGCTGATTAATTCAGTGGAAATATGCATGGTAAATACTATTGCCATATGACAAATTATTCATTGAATTTAGAAATGAAAATGATTTTATTTTCATTATGAGATTAGAAGCTGGTGATGTTATTTAAGATTTGAGATGATTTTGACTGGCCTTATAGAGTGATGTGACATCTCAATTATTGTGATTGAATACTATTAATTTGTCATAGTTTCATTATTGTTTGTTGTAAGGGCCAAGGCTATAGCAATGTGTTTGTAAGATATTATATTCGGATAGAAGCTGTTTATTTTCGCTTTTTCTAATGGCTCGATTATGGATATAGGCTGTTTGTGAAGATAATGTCCATTGAAGTATATAGATAGTCGCCTTCACTTTCAGAATATATACATCGAGGGGTGTTTCACAAAGATCCTAAGTCAAACTTAATTTTAAGTTGAACTTGGAGTGCCATTTGTAGCCTTAAAATAAAATATATTCAAAAGTGACGGAAAATTCAAGTATTTTAGACTTTTTTAAAAATAAATTCCACATCGATAACATGTGATCTCCTTGATAATAGAAAAATAGAATAACGTTTACGAAATATTTTCATAGATGCTAACGGCTTTCCATAATTGTTAAGTCCAACTTGGAGATAAGTTCAACTTAGAATCTTTGTGAAACACCCCCCTGTATGATAAACACATACATGTATGCTGCCAGTCTGTTTTGAGTACTAACCTTTTATTTCAGTTTAACTGCAGTTTTCCCCACAGTGTATTAGGGTTATAGGGTTAGGATTTGGGTCAAGTGTAGGGTTTAGGATAGAGCTATAGGTTATTGTGTGGTGGAGCTTTCTTTGTTTCCAATTTCGTAGAATGTATTAAGAACTACAAATATTATTAGGATGAATGTAAACAGCAATATTGTAAGCGGAAGTGTGGAAATACAAGTTTTTTTTAAGTTTTTTTAAATAGAATGTATTTTTGTCGTTAGTACTAACGTGAAACTATTTTAGAATACTTAATTAGCTTCATGATATTTTCAATCATTTTGTAATGGTTTTATGATGGATAAGCCTTGATGATATTTCATGAAAAGTAAGTCATTACAAAAAAAATCATTTAGTGTAGTTTTATCTTAAGTGGAAAACTAAAAATACCCGGAGAGGACCTGATTTATAAAGCCGTCGGTCCTCTGGTTGCTTACTAACGTACAAGCATTTATGCTTTCTTAGCAGTCAGGTAAAATAACCACCACTAAAACCACCACTAAACTAACAATCTACTTTTGTAATGAATTTGAAAAAGAAGATCACTTTTATAAGCCTTCCTCGGCCAGATATTAGCCTTAGTATACATTTTCTTTCAATCTGCGAACAATATGTCTTCCACATAATGTGTGCGTTGGCTCAATAACCTAACATAATACATGCAATACACAACTACTGTATGAGAACGTGTACGATGCGAGTTTGGATTGGAGCTTTATTGTGTACTTAAAGTGTAATAATCAAGGTAAAAATTGTTTGTCTACAATCATGGTGTGTAATCGTGTAATTTCTTGATTAAATTTGAAATATTAATTAATTAGTTAATTTTAAAAGATTTTGATCGATTATGTTTCTGGTATTCTCTCAAAATGTTCTTGATAGTAAATGTATGTATATGTATTTGTTTCATGTGTGTGTGTGTGTGTGCGTGCGTGTGTGTGTGGGTGTGTATGTTAGTGTATAGCGTGTGGATAACGACTATTATACAAGGTGATGTACCCGCCGGAGGGAGAGAGAGAGGGGGAGGGGTGTTTGTATTGTGAAGCGTGTGTATGTGCGGGGGCGTCATTTTTTTTTCTGCGGCACAGATTGGGTTTTTTTTTTTTTTAAAGAGGTCTTGATTTAACCCTAACCCTAACCCTAAACTTTTCCATAGGCTCAACACGCACCTAACCCCAATCTGTGCCGCAGAAAAATATAATGCGTGCGGCCGGGGGGGGGGGGTCGATATTTTTCTAATTTTTGCATGTGACTGAAATTCACACACGTTCACTATCTCAAAAAGTTGCCTAAGTGAGTCTAAAACAAAATATAAATAAATACATTTGTACATAAATAATCGTGGCACCACCAATAGAGAGTGGAACCAGGGGGGGGGGGGGGGGTGTTTCACAATGATTCTAGTCGAACTTAACAATTATAGAATGCCGTTAGCATCTTTGAAAATATATTGTGAACATTATTTTAAAAGCCATAACATGTTGATTTAAATCATTTATATTTTCTATTATCAAGTTGATTTCATGTTCTTGATGTGATATTTATGAAAAGTCTGAAATACTTGAATGTCTGCTTTTGAATATATTTAATTTTAAGGCTACAAATGGCTCTCCCTAATGTTTAAGTCCAACTTAGAGATAAGTTCAACTTAGGATCTTTGTGAAACACCCCCTCACCTGGATTTATCATACTACAACATTTTCTTTGGCATTGGGCCAGAAATAAACAAAGGGCACATTAATAAAGATTTAAAATATAGGCCTATATCTTTTGTCGCTGACAAATCTGTGGTGGACCTACATGGTACTAATGAAAGTGCACATTTATTGAAGAAAAAAAAACTTCTGCATCGTATCTTTCCTCTCTTGTCAAAAGTATTTGAAAACTTACTTTCTATTAAAAAAACAGTAAGGGCACAAACTTGATTTTAAGAGCAATTTGTAATTAAAAAAAAAAAAAAACCAATTAGGGATCAAAGGGTGATACTGAGTTGTCTGAATTATAGCAGTTTATTAGGACACGTTGAAGGGACACAATTAGTATAAAAGTGTGCACAGTTTTTGACTAAAATTGTTCCGTCTAGAGAAAGATGACCATTGTTAATGGTTAAACGGGATTAAATAGCTTATTTCGCCTCTCATGCCTCCCCCTCCCCCTTGCCACACCCCTCCGCCTCGGTTGTGGTGAATGTGACAGAGGGTGGGAGTTGATAGAAGTGATTCGAAAAGTCGTTTTGATTCTAATGAGTTCGACCTTTTTAAGAGTTAGCTTCCAAACATAGAATATGAAATATGAAATCCGGCTTTACGATGAGAAAGACCGCTGCTCAGAGTAATGATGGGCGCTTATTAGAAGTGAAATTAGTGACAAATCTGCTGATAACCAATTACAAGTAAGGATTTCACTGATTATAGAAGTATGATGGGGGTTGGAACACTTAACAAGCATAAGACCTCTCTTTTGCTTTCGGAAAATTTTCAATAGCGCTAACCACCATGAATAGTCGTCCTTTATAACATTGTTCAACATATTTAGAAGATTTATGAAATATCGCTTGTAAACTTTTTCAGTTTGCTGTTTTAAATCAATTCTCCCTGTCCGGGCGCACAACGTATGGGTATAAAAGTTGACATTAAAAAAGGAGCATGTACATTTTGGGCTCTAATTAGGGGGACTCTTCCTATGGCTTTATGGCTTTATGATATAACCACTTTCCCAGCTAATTGGGTGCCGCGGTTCCACAAGTTCTTTGCGCGTATCACAAAAATGGGGGCGCGCCCATTTAAAGTTCATATAGCGCTAGCGCAACGTAAGCGCTGTAAGCCATGTTCCCTGTATTTAGCGCTCGAGCACTGCTGCTAGCGCATGCCCCTAATTTTGGGAGTAAATTACACAGGGCAGAAGAAGACATGTCATAACATGGAATTAGAGAAACGAAAGATTCTAAGATTATTTTTTTGTATCAATTCCCATGAAATTATGCCATGTAATTATCTTCAAAGATAAAGCAAGAGAGGGAAGCAGAAAGGAATCAACCACGATCTTCAATAGACAAGGCCTTTCGACATGTCAAGTTCTGTTGGATGTTCTGACACATTTTTCCTCTAGACGTATTCAATGTAATTAGCAACGCCTAAAAAATGTCAGCTTCATCTTTGGTTGGACCCGCGACGGACAACGCTAGCGTGGTCGACCAAGGACTCGATGTCGACAATACAAGAGCCGATGTTATGAAACCTGTCACATCAATAAGGTTGAACGACATCGACTTGGATTCCGACCTCGTGCTAAGCAGCGATAGCGATGGTCTTAATGGGTCCGAACTGAACGTCGCAACGACCACGGAAGATGAAGAACTTCGTCACATCCATCCCGAGATCATAGAGCTCAGTGTGTTAAGGTCTAGTAGGAGTCATACTGATAGGATTCACACAGGTAGCCGGACCGATCATCATCGTCATCATCATCATCATCATCACCAACATCAACAACATCCACCAAACCTTCAGGAGAATCATGACAGAATCGCGAAGGAAGGATCTTCTGCTGCAATTTCTGTCGAATCGGAAATCGATCTCGAGAACGAGGTGACCAATCAACAATCATCTGATCTCCCAAGTGAACGGTAAGATGAAAAACATGCAATTCACAGATCTCAAGTTCAAATTCGGGGCGTTGGGGGAGACTCGATTCCAGTTTGGTTATCCAGACAGTCAGTTGATTTCGAGCAGCATCATGAAGAACTTTACATACGATTTTTCGTAAATGTTTTAAGACTAATTATGTTAACAATTATGACGAAGGCTACCACTTAGGATGGTTGGTGGCGTTGCTATCCCCAGGCGCCTTGCCCGACCCCCCCCCCCCCCGCAAAAAAGAAAGAGAGAGATAGAGAGAGAAGGGAAAGAGGAGAGAAAGGGAAAGAAAGAAGTGGAAAAAGAAAAGAGAGAGAGATCGGGGCCGAACGGGCCTTGCCTCCCAGCTGTAACCTCCCCCCCCCCCCCCCCCCCCCACTTCAAAAAATAACAGAGAAGGAAGGGAAGGAAAAGAAAAAAGGAAAAGAGGAGTTAAAGGGAAGGAAAAAAGAGGGAAAGAAGAGAAAATTTTGCAATTTCCCCCCCCCCCCCCAACGCCCGCTACCGGTGATTTACAATTGTTGCTGAAATGCCATAATTTTCCGGGATGTTTCCTCAATGTTTAGTAAATAATACTTTTTTATGCGTTTGTTGGAAACTGGCAAATTCATAAAGAAAGAAAAAAAGAATAGTGACCTGCCTTTGTCACAAAAAATAAGGTTTCAACATTTGCTCGTCTGACCGTGATTAAATGCCTAAAACCCCTGAGCTTCCGGGGGCTCTGCAATTTCGATTCCACCTAGGGCCTTCAGTCAGGCACCGGGATGCTCATCTGACGGTAATTTAATGCTTAAAACCCCTTAGCGTCTGGGGCAGGCGCGTACGCAGGGGGGGGGGGTTTGGGGGGTTAAACCCCCCCCCTTTGGAAATTTTTTGTGTGTAAACCCCCCTAAAAAAAACCTAAAACCCCCCCCTTTTGGATTTTTTTTTTTTTTTTTTTTTTTATTAAAAAAAAAAAAAAAAAAAATTATTCCCATGGCCGACCTAAAAAGGTGACCTTACCCCCCCCCCCCAACGGAGCAAAATGTCAAATTTCCAAATTTCGAGACCAAAAAAAAAAAAAAAAGTGTCCTCTTACCCCCCCCCCCCCCCCCCCCCCCCCCCCCCCCCCCCCCCCCCCCCCCCCCCCCCCGCTTATTCAGCGGTCGGCTGAGTCGTTGCGATTTTTTTGGGACCAAAAAAAAAAAAAATGTGTCCTCTTACCCCCCCCCCCCCCCCCCCCCCCCCCCCCCCCCCCCCCCCCCCGCTTATTCAGCGGCTGGCTGAGTCGTTGCGAAATTTTCGGACCGATTTATAAATGTTAAAACCCCCCCCCCCTTGAAAAAATCCTGCGTACGCGCCAGGTCTGGGGTCTCCACCCCCGTTGGATTCCACGCCAAATAGTGACCTGCCAGTGTCACAAATAAGGTATCAAAACATGCTCATCTGACCGTAATTTACTGCCCAAAACCAGATATCAGGTGAAAAGGGATATTTTTGAAAAAGTGAAGGGGATCTTATTTAGATAATGGGGGGGGGGGGGGTTGCACTTATCACATGGAAAAGGTGGCCCTTATTACAAGGGGAAGAGGCAGTTCTTAAAAAGGAAAAGGAGTACTTCCACGCCCCCCCCCCCCCTGGAGCGCCGCCTTTGGTCATTGCACTAGAATTCAGAAATGTAGTTGAAGCAACTGAATATAATAATGAAGGAGTTACCCCTTATCTGAGATCCCCCCCCCCCCGTCCCCGATCCCCGAAAAAATAATGTGGCCTAGAGGTTGTGGTAATGCTTCTATAATTGCATCTTCTTCTTCTTCTTCTTCTTCGTCTTCTTCTTCTTCTTCTTCTTCTTCGTCTTTACCTTTTTTCTTTTTTTCTTTCTTCCTTATTCTTAATTTCTTCTTCGTTTCTTTTTCTTTCATTGCTTTTCTTATTATTATTCTTTGAAAAAATAAAGTTCCTTTTGTTCACTCAGTTCAATGCATGCCATCATTTTCATATAATTATATTTTATCGTTATATATTTTATCGTATTTTTTCTCAGAATGTTTCGCCCAAGTGATCTCTTCATGCGCTCGCATACGGCGGCTTCAACAACCATCGAAACCACGGCTGACACCGAGGATGATGTGCGCATGTCTTCGAACAAACGAACCGTCAAGACAAAAAAGAAGAAAGTCCGACGGTCGTCTGCGAGTGAAACAGACACCGTGGACACCACGCAGCACATAGCAGCCAATCAGCGTGCACATACTGGGCGACGCGCTACAAGACGCGCACTGGATGCGCGTTACAGATCTATCGACGGGGCGGAGTCGCACATCATCTTTGCACCATTTCCCTTCGCTATCATCTCGGATAACAATCGGATCGGGAAGGACAACGAACAGTTGCGAAGAGCGATTGCATTGAACAATGTGATTGTGAGTGATGAATGTGATGAAGACGAAGGGGGTGTTGATGACGATAACTGGAATGAGAAGGAAATCGACGAGGATGATGACCAGGGAGATGATGAATCAGTAGCATCAACATGTACATCGATACCAGCTACTCAGCAGGTTGGTAGGAACCTTTGTCACTCAAAGCTCCTGTAACGATAATGCTCCGCGTCAATTCCCTACACTGACCGATTTTAAATTTTCATCCCTGGACCAAACACGATACTTATAACCCGTAACGCTAAACCTAACCTAAGACTCAATCTCAACCCTAAAATCAACCCCTAAACCTTTAACCTTTCGATATTGTCGTGGAGAGAGTGGTAATCGAACGTCAGGGAGTGGGTAATGATGCATAAGAAACTCCCTCCCTCCCCTCCCCACCTGTCTCCTTCTCTTCCTCTTTCTCGATCCATCAAATATCAGTATCTTGATTCCTTGTTCTTCGGGTTATTGCTCCTATTTGACTCGTAACTTTTGTTTGTATCATTTTATACATGTTCCTCTTCATCTACATCCTTTCAAACATTCACCCTTCTTTTTCATCATCTTCATCTTCTGTTGCCATAACGACCGGTCGGCCTATCGTAAAAACCATCGAGTTTCTCAGGGGTTCGCTTCAAACTGTCCCATGTTTCTGTATGGATTCTTCCATATTTCTCTTTATCTTCATCTAGATCTCTTCAAACATCCACCCTTTATCCATCTCATCAACTTCATCCTCGTCCGTCAGCATCGTAACCTGCCGCATTTGCTTCCAGCCAGAGGAAGGGGACTCGATACTTTACCGTCTGGTTAGTCCCTGTCTTTGTGAAGGAACCATCAAGTACCTTCATCAGTTCTGTTTGAATCGTTGGATAGCCGAGAGCGGAACTCCCAGCTGTGAGCTGTGTGGGTATCAATTCCATCTTCGTACTTCGTCAATGAGAAACGTATTACACGTAAGTAAAAACGTTGGGGTTGTATACACACACGTGATAAGTGTCCGGACAGATGATTTTAAGCAGTAATTTGAAGAAGTATATACAAGCAATGTTTCATAAATCTATTAAGAACACTACAAATGACAATTTTGAACAAAATTATATCTATAATGGTTGGCTAATTCTATTTAATACATATTTTTGTTAAATCCAAGGGTATAACTTAAAAGTGATAGCCTTATTTTGATTAAGCCTCCGGACACCCCCCCCCCCCTAAAAAAAAAATCATGAATCTTGCTATAATGTATTGCTCCGCGGGTAGTCCTACACTTGACGAATAGCAAATTTCAATCCCAGACCTAACACTTACCCAACTCTATCCCTAACCCTATGACAAAAAAAAAATCCAGAGCAATTTTCGCCGGAGCAAATGTCGGATCACAAAACAGGTGACCATATTCAGTGGCGTAGTAACAGGAGGAGGGGGAGGGGAGGGGGGGGGCATTGATGGCCAAAAAAAAGGTGAGAGTGAGGGGGAAGATATAGGAAAAGGAACCCAGTACTAATCTAAATTCCACTCAAGTTCAAGCTTCCTAGGACGAGGAAACACTAGGTCAGCTCAAAATCGCAATGATGAAAGAGCAATTGCCTACAATTTAAAGCCGATTCTGCTCTTTTCCTGTCCTGGAGAAAAATTCCGATTGTTGGTATTCTTATCAATATTAGAAATCTAAATCAGGAAAATTATGTTTGCTTAGAATATTATATAATTGTCATTTCTTCGCCAATCTGATTGCAGGAGGATCATAAGTGCGGTAGGCTTCAGTCTAGATGTATATAAAATGCATAAGAAACATCTATAGAAAAGATCCTGATATGATATTTGCATACCTTTGTTTTCTCTTTTTAATATTATTCATAACGATTTGGGAAAGGTATAATAAGTGATTGACATTAATAGCTGTACATGCATCTTATTCTAATTAAGATTTCGATCATGGTATACCCATCTTCCTGTGCGGAAATATGTTCCCTTTATAATTATATAATAATAATAATAATAGTGGGTTCTTGTATAGCGCTCATGTCAGTCAGATTTGACCCTCCTGGCGCTCCCGATTATTACCCTGGCTTTAGCACGGCATTTCAAGGAATAAATTCCTACCAGGTACCCAGTTACTTCACCTGGGAGGAGTGTGGCAAATGTAGATCAATGTCTTGCCAAAGGACATTAGTGCGGCGGTGGGACTCGAACCGCGGACCTTGTGATCGACAGTCCGGCGACGTATCCACTCGACCACAGCACCTCTATCTTTCTCCTCTCTTCAAATAATTCAAAGTTTGTGCATATTATAATTTATACATTATGCAATATCATTATTTTCATTACTAAACATAATTGTAATTTATTGTTCTCTCATTGTTTTTTAGTGGCGTTTGATCGAGTTATCACAGTGGGAACGCGTTCATCTATCCCTTGGTTTCTTTTCACTTCTCTTCGTGGTTGTATCTCTCAGCTATATGGTGTGGGTGACCATCAGTTCGGACCCCCAGGCCGTCCACACTCGCCAGTCTGTGACGGCTGAGATCCTCTTCCCCATCTACGCTTGTCTCGATGCCCTAACCCTATGCGTGTGTAGCTACGAGATGAGTAGCACTGTTAAACGACTGTGGCGCCGGTGGCGTGCCACCAATAGTTGCCTCATCGTATTGGACAAACCGGTTAAAAGGAGGAGGAGAGATAACGTCGTTTCCGTTGTGCTTCCCGCGCAAGGTTCAAACCAACCAAGCAGCTCGATAGATGCCACCGCTACTGAAGAAAGCCTTGCTGAATGCACCACAGAACATGCGGAAGATAACACGGACGATGTCCATGATGGTGCAGACAGTTCTTCTACCAAGTTGCTCATCTCTAGTCACGTGAGAAGTGGCCCCCGTCAGACTGCTCCTGATGAATGTTCAGTGACATTATCGATTGCAAATCATGATCCTTTGACCTCCTGTTCAAACTTGGCAATCGCTGAGGACGATTTCATGTGCGATAAGATGTATGTAGAACATTTAAATACAGAGACAATGGTCTAAATCTAAAAAGGACACCTGACAGTGAAAACACCCGCTGAAATGATCAATACAAATCGGGACAAGTATCCCTCCTCCGGATAACTACCCCCATAAAAACGGACCTGCATCCCCAAGACAACTACCATCAATTCTCGTGCCGTACTCGATCCAGGCCGGGCCCGGGGCGGTTTGTCCGAGGCAGCTAGAGTCTCCTGGGGGATGATTGAAATAGGGGTCGTTTATCCATGAGGGCATTGGCTTATCTACTGAAGGGCAGGGGCACGTACCCTAGGCGGCAGCACTTGAAGGGGTGCAAAAACACAAAATTGAGAAAAAGAAATGGGAGAAATGGAAGGGGGGATATTATATTAAATGATTGTAAACGCCACCATTACCTATAAAATGCTTTAGAAAAGAGTTTCGGGGGTTGAATTTAATGCAATGTTTTCAAGACCGGTAGCTTTGCACCTTCGCATAATTATTATGCGATATTATGCAATAGGTTGCTTCAGAATCTCGTAATTTCGCTCCTCAAGAGAAATTATTTTATATCAAAGAAAAAATATGCTCCTCGTCAATATATGCTCCCTACTTCATTGACCCCTTTTTGTATATTACGTCCTAAAAATAGGTTAAAGCATACTTTTAACAATTTCAACGAATCGCTCTCGATTGCCTTACCAACTTCCGGGACAAGATTTCTACTGGGTTTTTGTTAATTTTACGCCTCTTTTCAAGAAGAAATGAATATGAATTAATTCACGTATCAATGCTAACAATTAAAATATTTACCGCTCAATTCCAGTGTTAACTTGGACATATTCGTGTGTAAAATGCATATAAATTTACGTTGTTTTTTAGGATTAAAAAAGTTCAATAATATAATATATCGCGGATTACTTTAATTCCTCGCTTTAGGTAGAAATGTTGGGGCGTGCATTTATGTTTGCCCCGGGCGCCATAATTCCTTGGTACGCAACTGGTCATGACGAAGGCAGGTGAAATTTTTCGAATTTCCGTCGATGATATAATTGGTTCTAGAACACCTACCCCTGGACATCTACCCCCCCCCCCTCCCGGATAAATACCCCTAGGACAACTACCCCCAGAAAACTACCCCCTACAACAACCTTCCTCTAGGACAACTACCTCCCGGACGCGTTATTTTTTTATGCGGCACAGATTGGGGCTTTTTTTAAAAAGGGGTCTTGATTTACAGACTAATACTGGTCGTGTGCGTACTAGACAGTATAGTAGTAGAGGTCTGTTTTTAATAGTGTTAAATTTAATCCACTACCGCATGGAATATCATTACATCAACAATTAAAATCAAATTGGAAATCTGAAGAGGAGGCAGCACGTCAATAAGGAGAACATCACAATAATTAGTCAATAAAACTTAACTAATTTAAACAAAGAGGAATGTCATCTAAACACAGTTCGCGATGGATATACAAACTTCTTCGCAGCGCTAATGCGCTAGCTATAAACATGACTAGTCTCACGTACGTGCAGACACTATTCAGAAGGGAAAGAACGTACTTCCCATAGGTTTAACACGCGCCATGCCCCAATCTGTGCCGCATAAAAAAATAACGCCTCCCGGACTATCCTAGGAGGTATTTTTCCGGGGGTAGTTGCCCTAGTGGGTAGTTGTCTGGGGGTAGTTGACCAGGGGGTAGTTGTCCTGGGGGATAGTCGTCCTAGAGGGTGGTTGCCCTAGGTGGTAGTTGTCCTATATAGGGGGTAGTTTTCCTAGGGGGAAGTTGACAGGGGGTGGATGTCCGGGGGGTATAGGTGTTCGGAAACGGATAAAATTATATGCATATGTTTACTAAATTGTGTACCTTATGTATTTGACGCTATATAAATGATTATCATTGTTCATCCATGTTAACTTTTGGAAGCTTTTAAAACAGGCGATTCTCGTTATGTAATTAAATTAAATTTACATGTAGTTAATTTTCATTACATTACGAAAATGGTCTATTAGAATCAGTCATTAATTCTCATTTAACAGTCAAAATAATTGTACCACCTGTGCCCTCGTGACGAGTGACCAAATTGTGTTACAAAATATAAATGAAAGATCCTAGTATTATGTATTTTGTTTTTTGTATTTTGTGTCCATTCTTTGTTTCATTACCAAATTGCATTTAACCACTGGACTCTACACTACACTATGCAGTGTTTAGTTTATAGTGATGCCAGGAATTTTAAAAAGGAATTTGGCAACACATTGAGAGGTTTAAAATCATTGGTTTTCGATCGAAATTGTCATTTAATTAATTTTTTTTTTAAATTGTTGCCAATTTCCTTTTTAAAATTCTATCTTTCCTCTGAATTTTCGACAAAATGTCTACCTCTGATTATCTTATTAAGAGTCATTGCATTTTACTTGAGCAGTATAGCATTACAAGAACAAATATATATATATATATATATATATATATATATATATAATTATAATTTCTATCATTGATGCCAACTTGAAAAAAAACATGTGATCAAATTAGTGCTACAAAATCACTGTCCTGAAAAGGTTGAAAATATGTTGTTGTATTCCAGTGCTGGTGACATGTATTATTGACTTGCTTTGTTTGATTCACTCTTTAAAAATATGATGCAACATCGCACAATCTAAATAACTGGGCGTTTTTTCAACTTAACCCTAGGACCACCGGTATAGGGACCGAATTTTCATGAAGACGAGATTTTTACTTGTCGAGTTTAACACTATTTGCACAAAAATTTGCCCCATAATACTGGCTCAGAGGAAGCCTTCTAAATTTAGTAAATGTGCCACATTAAATGGATTCAGACACAACTGCACATTTGTTAAAACTATGCCGCCGTAAAACTGACAACATGATCAATAGAGGCATTTAGATTAATCAATTAAGCTCTGATAAGATACATTTGTTATTTATTAAGAATAAAACATGATTGTCAAATAATCAATGAAAACATTATGTTGTTAATAATCCAACTTTTTGGGCAGCACTTTACAATTGAAGACATATTATTTTGTTTTCTTCATATTTTTCCCTCCACAGGGATTTTATTGATTTTCATTTGAAACAAATTAACAAATATAAATTCAAGGTAATTTACATTTATAACATGAATAAAATTGGCTTCTCAAGATACAAGTATTGTTGAACTGTTGAGTTAACGGAAAACTAACAACTCATTAATTCATTTCTGATACTCCTGGAAAGAACAAACAAAAATACAGAAACAATATCATTCCATGCAAACAAATTCCTAAATTGAAACCATTTTCTTGTGCATTTATTATTTCTACAATTCGAATTTGCAATATACTTTTTATTGTTGAAGTAATTTATAATCGAAACTCTAATATTATCAAAGTCGGGCAATTGTTTCTTTATTTTATAGTATACACCATCTGTCGTACCGCAATCAGTATACAGTTCAATGCATTATTATTTGAACCTCTTAAACCAAATAATTTATCTTGTAATGAAAATGTTAATTTATTTCCGGTTCCAGTATAAATCCAGTGCTCTAACCTATCCCAAATATGTTTAACATGCGTACAATCACATAGCAGATGTATAACTGTTTCAATCTGTTCATTACAAAATGTACATTCTTTTCTTGGGACTAAATTCATTTTTAACAGTAGATCGTTCGTATATAACATACGTTGCCAAACTTTAAACTGAAACCATCGTAAGCCCACATCAATGGTACAATGAAATCCAATAGAACAATATATTTCCCAAATCTTATCATTCAGGTCGAAAATGCATTTCCATTTAAGAAAACTTTTACAAAATCATTTTCTTCTCTTTAGAAAAATTGCATAGATATGTGAGAAAAAAATTTTAAAAAGTTCAAAGTTCAATTTATTTCTCCACAAATGCAAAACATAGGGAGCTACATAGAATAAAATACATACATACAATAAAAGAACATGTACATTATATATAAAAACGACTCCAGTTGGAGCAATGTATGTTTTGAAAAGAAGCAAATCAGCAAATGTGGAAGGGGTAGTCAAAAATCAAAAATGATTTGTCGAGGACTATCCCCAATATCTAAAAAAAAATATACAATTAAAACTTAAAAGTAAATATAAGGTAAAATTATGAGGTGGTACCAATAACGAGAAAGAAGAGGGAGAAAAATATCAAAGACAGGGGGGGGGTGCATCCTTTAATACATCCTTTTATACGTTTCATAAAAAATGCTTTTATGTCTGGGAAAAGAGGTTGTGGCACCTTGTTAAATATAGTACAATTGTTAAACCCTTGTCTAATTGCATCGCATAATCCACGATAAAAAAGAACATTTATTTGAATATTATACTTTTCTTGGAAATGTTCCAGAGAGAAAAAAAATCACCATTTGTCTCTAAAATATCATTGACAAAACGAACTCCCTTTTGACACAATTTGTTATAATATATTGAGCTATTGCCTATTTTAATGTAATCATTATTCCATAAGGGTTGGCAAGAAATGTTATCATAATGCATGGACAAGAGCGTACTATAACATTTCTTTCCGAAAAAGGTTCTTTGTTTTACCTGCCAGTTCCTAAAAATAATTGTTTCCCATATATAATTTTAAATTTTGCAGTTCAGGCAAGAAAGATTGCAAAAGACAGAGGATATTGCTATCTATTGAGCCGATTACCAACCTCTTAATCCTGGTAATTGTTAATGATTGACAATTTGTGTATATATCTATCATTTTAACGCCTCCGTCCGAATAACTTTGTGACATTTGATTTCTACTTATTTTATCAGGTTTCTCCCCCCCCCCCCTATATAAATCTATGAAAGTGAGCATTTATATCTTTCAAAAGATTTTCACCAGGATTAGGGAGGGACAAAAAAGGTAGTTTAATTTGGATACCAACAATGATGACATATTATAATGAATTATACAATGAAAGACATATTATAATTATGATATGACATTGAAACTTAAAACATAAAATGTACAAAGTAGGCCTATGTTGTAAAAAGCTATAACATAATAAAGTTATAAAAACGATGTCAAACTTGGTTGAGTATTAGACCCGACAACGCTCGACTAATCTCTGGAAGTCAGCTTTTGTTGTTAGGGTGTTCCACAAAATTAAAAAGAAATATAAAATGGCTCAGGAGGGTTTTCTCTCTCTGGAAGACCTAACAAATAAATTAGCCTTTGCTATCCATAATATATTTAAAGTATAGTGCCTAAATGGAGAATTAATGTTTTTTTGTATACGTCACAATCGACTGACCAAATTGCCAATTTGGGATTTGCATAGATTTAGTGATCTTAGACGTTCATAACTCTCTTATTATTGGTCCCATTTATTGCAATTTCTCACAACTCAATGATGGAAATTGCCCTTTAATGATGGATTACCCTTTGATAAGGCCTTGGTATTTTCTCTATAGTAATTATTTTAGAAGGAGAGTAGCAGCAGATTACAATTTCCCCTTTTCTTTTGAAATGCGAAATATTACTGTTACATAATTATTATTGAATAATACGGGGTAATATGATATGAAAATGCTCTAAATTTCAATACAACAACATTATTATGAACCGACAAAGTCATAATTCTTCCGAGTGATCTCTTATTTTGCCGAGGCCGCATGCCAAGATTGAAATAAAATTGCTCGAGGGCCGAATCTTTATGTGAATTTTGGTATATTGAACGACGCTTTGCATTCAATATTCCTTTTTATGAATTAAAGGTATTTGCAATGTCATGACTAATTTGTTTATCTTTCTTCTCTCGAGCTGACTAGACTCTTAAATATATGTCTTTTATCTTTGTGAAATCTTACATAAATATGAAGATTTAATTGTCGTAATTCCGCGAGAAAACTTGGTGAACATTATGATAAGTTGACTATACGTAACACATTTAATGGAGTTGTCATTGATTCTAAAACCCTGATGAATACGGGCCAAATTACAGGAGTTTATGAAGGACACTTCTCTTATACTGACATGGATATCAAAGATATATTTTTTAAGTAGCTTGGTGAAAAGACGCATCCAGAACGTAAAATGCATTATTGTTGAAATTTAAAAAGTCATCACAGAGACATAGAACCACATCGTTAGGATATGGAGCTGATAAAATGCATATACCATTTCGATGAGGCTTCATGTAAGCTAAACTTTCGATCAGATATGTCCAAAAAATGTTTTAGTGGACAAACATCACTAACTGTTATGCATTTTTGTGTTCCGGACTCGTCTTTTCGTGCCTTCACATGAAACTGACAAGGGGGTGTTTTACAAAGATCCTAAGTCGAACTTAACTCTAAGTTGGACTTGAAAATTATGGAGAGCCATTACTTTTGTAGCCTTTAAAAAATATATTTAAAAACGAAAATTCAAGTATTTTAGAGTTGTTTATTAATTCCACATCAAGAACATGAAATGTCCTTGTTAATAGAACATACGAAAGATTTGAATCAACATTTTTATGCCTTTTAAAATAACTAGTGCAAAATATTTTCATAGATGCTATCGGCTTTCTATAACTGTTGAGTCCAACTTGGAGATAAGTTCAACTTCGGATCTTTGTGAAACTCTCCCTGGTTATAAGGATTTTGATCATATGTTAAACTGATGATGCAAGTTTATCGTCTCCTCCTAGATATGCCCTATGTTCCACATCCATTTCATTTCGGCGGCGCTTAAGTTTGATATGAAAGTATACATATTCACTGTATGCTCTCGGCGTTCGTTTGTCTTGTATCTTAACCTGAACAACAGAAATTGCTCAATTCCTCGAATTTGAACTCCAGCCTTCTGCATGCACATCCCGAGGAAAGCATCTTCCCACTTAAAAATGGGCGTGGTCAAAGCGGTTTTGTAGACCTTCTCTATCAAGTCCGTAGACAAGAGATAGGCTGGTCCGTCCATGTAGGGTGGGAAGGTGGGAGAAGGATAGTACTCTTCGGACAAGTAGAATTTACTTTCTTTTTTCCGCACTGAATTTGTCCCCACCAAGGCCTTCCCGGCGGTGTAGTTGGTCAAAGGTGCCTTTTCGAGCACGCCGTCGCGAAAGCGGCGTTGGTTCATCATGGTGTCATCATCGATCTTCATGGCGTATTGAGCATGCCTGCAGTAATTGGTCACCCATTTCAAGCCCATCACTGTCTTGCGCGTCAGGTTCTGGTAGCTATCAACAAAGTCCTCCTGGACAATGTCTCCATAGCGAGTGGCCTCTGAATCAATTTCACGTTGCAGAGTGGCGTTTGATGTGGCCCCAAGCAGGAACACTGTTAGCATCGCTCCCTTTCGCCCCGAAGAGATCCACTGGCTCGAGTTACCGTAAGTTGCTCGAATCGCCTGCCGTCTACTAAAATGATAAGGTGCTGTTGGAGAAAAGAAAAGCACAATGACGTCCAGCTTCCTTCCATCCTTTTTAAAGCAAGTATTTGATGGGTTATGGATATAGTTGTAGTCATGTGCATCTGTCGGTTCGTTCAAATAACCAGGTTTTTCTTCATCAATTTTTCTGTTTGCATGTAATTGGGCAGTAGTGGGACGTGTGTAACGTTCCTGTCTGATAACCACTCCATCTGCTGTCTCAGGAGTCACGTAATAACTTACATTTTGCATTAATGCTGCAAAAATGGGGATGGGGTGGGTTTGACTGTTGCTCGGGACTCCGGGTATGAAGCTCTTGGTCTGAATGCGCTCCTTCATACGGACAACGTGTCCAAGCTGTGACAGAGAATAAACAAAAAGAACCCCATTCATTAGTCCCAGGGAGTAGAACTTGAACTGTGTACGCGACGTCAGCCACCGGTCAATCATCATGGAAAATGTCTCCACAGCTCAAGATCCAAATCAAATTTGATTCCCAAAATAGTATCAAAATGTGTTTATATTAAGTGTAAGCTTCGACGTTACTTCTGGTACCCGATGGGCCTTTAGGTCGAATTCCAGAACTCGAGTCCAAAAAGCACGGATCCCGGTGCATGCATGCTATATCGCATCCACTCGCCCGAATTGATGCATTGGCGCTGATTTAGTCCTCACTGAAAGGGCCGAACACAAACTTAAGACTCTGCTTAAATTAGTCACTTCTGCGCATATAAGTTAAGAGAATAACCTCATGCAGCTACGTACATTCGTTGAATCAGGGATCATGCCGAAGAAAGAAGAAGGATATTTCTCGCAATATTTCTGTGCTCAACTTGAAGAGAAAGAAGAAGAAAGAGAATCACAGCTTCACGACCTCCAGTAAAAAAAGCTCATGCAGATAACCACAATGTGAAGAAAGGTCTGAAGACTACATAAACAGTGTGTCTTCTTTGCTACCGTATTTTATTTGAAGAACATATTTGTTACGTCTTCTCTATTGTGTTCGTATTTGCAGTGCTCTCAGTCAGACTTGCAACTTCAATACAATGGGTGGTCAATACAACGGGTGACAGTATTGTGTCATAAAAACAAACGAAATAGCCATCCATCAAGAATATGAAAACTAAAAAGTTTGGATACGTATTGTTATATAATATATTTCCTTTTTAAAATGTTTATATACAGTATAGTCATATTTATTTCACTTGAAACTTAAGTCTTGTGTCGTCATGTTGTAGCTGTTTAAGTGGCACATAAAGTGTCGAAACGCGGATTCATTTCCTTAGTCTTCTTACTTTTTCATTCATATTAACACAGCCAGAATGTAAGTTAAGATAATGACTACATGTATACCGTAACGATTAACAGGCAAACATTGATCTTTATGTCTACATGCAAGAATATATTATAATTAATGCTCATGAATATAAATTCTCTTCTCATTCAAAAAGAGATGAAATATTAAAAAGGGAAATTCTGGCAGCTAGACCTGAGTGAATAATGATCACCATTTCTTCATGATAACATAGTAATGCAGAGATTGTAATAATTTAGGAAAAATAGGAATATAATGTATTCATTCAATTCTTTAAGTATAATACATTTAAGGGCATAAGAAAATATATAATGTTTGCATAAGTATGACGCAATAAAATGATAAAAAAGAGAGATTCATCCTTTGATTCCAACAGTTTTTATTAGTTCATGAGTTTTTGACGTAAATGACATCTTTACCAAGTGGTTCGACCAACAACAAAAAAATATTAGTACTTATAACGTGAATGTATACATGCATAATTTCATGAACTTCTTTAGTCCAGGCTAAAACATGGATCATGTATTCTAAGTCATTTTATTGCATTGTGTTCCATCACTTGTTTCAAAATGAAACTAATCTCTCTCATATGGGATATGTTATTTTCCACCTGCATGCATGGTATTACCAATACACTACCCTCTGTGTGTGATATTAAATGACCAGGAAATAGACTTTAAAGGATATCTTAGTGAAACATGCACATGAGCTGCCCTCAGTTCTCCTTTTCCTTTGTACAAGACCGGACTGTTTAACATCATCATCAAAATTGAATCCCTTAACACTTTTAAGTTCCAAACGCTAAAATAATATCAAATGTCATTCTAGTCGTTGCTCTAGTTGCTCTCACCCGTACCTGTCTGTTTACATAATTTTTATGGGATAGCATACATGTCTGTCGACACGAACCGAAGAAGAAGATCTGAGTTTTTTTCTTAGGAACTGTGTACTTCGCTGCCGTGAGTGGACACTTGAACAAATCCCTGCTCTTCGCACGGGGCATGTAACAATACGATGGATGCCTACGTCACATACAGTACAAATGAGGAAATTCAATCTGAAACGAATGGAGCATATAGTTTCTATAAGAAAAATATATCAATGTTACCCATCTTAGATCGTTACAAAGTTCAAGTTCATTGATTTCCACTTCGATTAAAAAAGGGATATATGATATAACACAGGCGCGTACGCAGGGGGTAATAATAATGTGCTCTTACCCCCCCCCCCCCCCCCCCCTCCCCCCTCTTATTCAGTGGCTGGCTAAGTCGTTGCCAAAAAAAAAAAAAAATATGTCCTCTTACCCCCCCCCCCCCCCCCGCTTATTCAGCGGCTGGCTGAGTGGTTGCGAACTTTTTTGGACCCCCCCCCCCCGGCTTATTCAGCGGCTGGCTGAGTCGTTGCGAAATTTTTCAAAATCGATGAACGATGTAGTTCAGAGAGAAAATAAGTAGAGGAAGATCAGAAAGTGTTTTGGGGTTGACCAATGAATGGATGAACTTGACAGCTAGAAGACCGACGAGTTGCCACAGTCGACTTACAAATAGTGCATGTGCTATCATGACCATTCACTAGACCGAAGAAGAAAAAAAATCAGTCTATTTCTTTCGCTAAAACTACGTCTGGCTTCACCGAAACAGATCGTTCTACTTCAAGAAGAGCGTCAAAAGACAAATTAATTTTTGATTAACAAGAAAATAAGAAAAAATGAACAGGGAAGGAAAAGAAACTCTAAGCGGACTCCAAAGGAAAAAAATGTGTCAGTCCATAAATTCGACCCATATATACAGCGAATAAAGATCGACAACGTTTAAAGTTCTCGGTCCAATAAACAACTAAACTGAAGAACACGTAGACGAGATAGGAAACTGTATGAAGGAAAAGTAAAAAGCGCTTTGGACGACCAATAATATTATAGACCAAATTGGGTACTCGTCGACCTACATGTATATTATATAAATATATATATATATATAAATATATATATATATATATATATATATATATATATATATATATATTATTATCATGTCACAGGTACAGTAGATCCTTGTGCTATCATACTCTAAAAATGCGTTATTCCAGGATTTCGACCGAAAGCGAATAAGTCTAGAATTCTTGATCCAATAAACAACTAAAGCTAAGAACGCGTAGACGAGATAGGAAACTGTATGAACGAAAAGTAGAAAGCGCTTTGGACGACCAATGTAGAAAAAATTGGGGACTATATATATATATATATATATATATAATATATATATATACATTTATATACAATTATATATAATAATCGTGTCACATGTACAGTAAATCCCTGCGCTAACATACTTTAAACATTCGTCATTCCAGGCTTTCGACCCATAGCGAGTAAAGATGAACTAAGTCTAGAAGTACCATAAGGGCCTATAAACAACTTAAAGAACAAGTAGAAGAGCGAGGAAAGTGTATATGGGAAAAGTAGAAAGTCAAACAATGGATTAAATAGGGGACTCGCCGACCTCGCCTCGCCGACCTCGCCGACCTCGCCTACTGCGTTACGGAAATGTAAGCTTTAAAAAGAAGATTGTGAAAGATTTCCATTGTGTTGTGATGAGTCACTGAAATAGACGCGAACACAAATTCCTTGTGCTATCATACTCCAAACAATAATAAGTATTATGTATTTGTTTTGAAAGAGTGTTCGATCCATAACGAATATAAATACGATGGACAAGCCTATACCATGTGAGTCGAAAAAAAGTTTACACTCAGAAAATTGTCATTTATTTTAAAAGTCAGCTATGAATGTAAAGAGTATTCGACCCATAGCGAATATAAATAAGATCGACAAGCCTATACCGTGTAAGTCACAACAAGTTTACACTCAGAAAATTGTCATTTATTTCAAAAGTCAGCTATGAACAGTAACTCATTATACATCTTATGAAAGAGTGTTTGATCCCAAAAAAATTGGTATCATTTGTATGTGGTATGTGTTCACGCTTGGATGAACAGGAGGCATTGTTTAAGAGAGTGCAAAAATCGACTTGCGCAAAAGTATCAAAGTGAGAGAAAGATCTTGTGTCCATGGGTGTCGATACTTACGTAATACCTATTCATCAGGGGGGGATGAATGAATAGATCATCCCCCCTGAGGTTACAGATCGACACCCATGCTTGTGTCATTATCAAATGAAATGCATTGCATTTGCTTTTTGTATAAACAAACACACATCCACACGCGCACAAATGTTCTTTGATATTTGATGTTTGATATGGGTGGTATGAATCCTTTTGTTAGGGATGTTATTTGGATCTGCAAAGACCGAATTAATATCCAAATCTCAATTGTTTGATTCAAACATCACATGTATTCCTTTGGCGCAAGTCGATTGTTGCACTCACTTAAACGATGTCTCCTGTTCATCCAAGCGTAAACACATACAAAATACAAATAAATGATATCGATTGCTTTGGGATAAAACACTTTTTCATAAGATGTATAAAAAATTACTGTTCATAGCCCCAAGGAGACCTCAAATCGCTACAAGCAACATCATAATCAGATTCTCTGACCCCGAAAACCCCCTTACTATATAAACTTTTATCATACTAGCCCATTTCCTTTCGAAACTACACATGACCTGTAACTATCAGATGGCGGCTATTTTGGATTTGACCAATATGACCAGTATGACCAGTACCAGTAGTAAGCATAATTTGTTTTCGTATTTGCCTCCGAAAATGTGAAAATCGCGCCAACCAATATTGCGCTCGGGGGGGGGGGGGGGGTACTGAGCATTTTTTTTCTTCTTTTTTGCCCCCGGAAATTTGAGAATCGCGCAGACCGTTAGTTTCGCTTAGTGGGGGATGATAATGTGAGCACCAACTAAATAAATATATTATACAACGTTGTTTTTTTTTTTTTTAGAGGGGGGGGGGGGGGGGGGGGTGTGGATCCGCGCCTGGGATCAACTAATACGAAGAAGATGTTATTGTTTAAAAGGGGCTTGTCGTTCCGTTTTTTATCCTAACGCTGATCGAATTCAGGCTCATTTAAATTAATTAAAATAGTTTGATTATTCAGTGAGATTAAGCTTGATTTGTGATTTTTACGCAATTTTGTGGAAGATACGATCATGGGAATTATAAGCTGTCATCACAGATCGTTGTCAATTTTTCCTGTTACCCGGTTGGTATATAGTCTAAAATTAATGACAGCCTTGATCACCCCCTAAAATACCAGACATTTAGATGTTTGTATAACAAAATATGCAGCCCTGCACATTACAGGAATCATATTTGGATGTCACCCGACCTTTAATACTGGACTTAAAATTCGATGAGTGGGTTCAAGGATAATTACCCCCCCCCCCCCCCCTCCATGCAGGACATACGTTACCCTCCCTCCTGAAATATACCGCGTTGGAAATCCCCCCGGAAAATTACCCCCCGAAATGTTTTGGTTTGCTTTTATTAAAACCGACTTATTAACCGGGGTGGTCTTAATTCCGCTAAATTGAACAGGGGGGGGGGGGGGGTAATTTTCCGGGGGTGATTTCCGCGGGAAAAAATAACCCAGGTATTTAAAAAAAAAAAAAAAAAAAATGGTATCGTTAATTTTACCTATTTTAAACAAGAAAATTAATGAAAATGCCCCCCGTTCTCTTGGCAACAAAAAAAAGTAATTTTTATTTTCTCATAAATTCAGGACTTCAGTTTCTGATTGCCTTTTGCAAACGAGAGTCACTTTTTCATAATGTCCTCTTCCTTGGAAATATTAACTTCTGTCCCTTTTTATATTGCATGTATATTCTTTGGACATTCTATCAAAAATTGTCTGACCGTTTCTTTTGTTGGACAGCTGTCACAGAAACCTGTGGGGTGGATTCCTTTGACGTAAGTGGTCATTATTGAGTCCAGATATACTCCCAGGCGTAGTCGCCTAAGAAGTGTTTCATTTTTCTTCCCAATTTACCGGGCCAATTTACAAGGATATTGTGCAATATGAGATAACCTTTGGCTGAAGGAGTGCCAATTGGCTATAGTTCATAGTTCATTTTATTTCTTCTTTCACAAACATTTGTACTTAGAATTTCAAATAAAGTAACTGGAACAGCAGATTATCAATATAACAAACATATTTTGAAGCGCAATAGTAACGTAAAACATACAATTCTTGTTATTAACTAAAGAAATTCTATAAAAAAATTACTTATGTAAGATCTTGTTCTGTACATTAAAGAAAGAGGAGACCTTATAGAAGCTGGGCTTGTTAGAGCACAGGCGCGTAGCCAGGGGGGCGGTGGGGGCGGTCGCCCCCCCCCCAAAAAAAAAAGAAAGAGAGAAGAAAAAAGAAAGAAGACGAAAAGGAGTCGAGAACGGTACAACGAATCGTCTTCGTTCTCTAATAATTTAATGAAACGTCAAAGCTCCCGCGCTTCGCGCGCGAAGTGGAAAACTGAGTTCAAATTAAGGATTAAGAGTCAAGAACGGTACAACGAATCGTCTTCTTTCTCTAATTTAATAAAGCGTCAAATCTTCCGCGCTTCGCGTGGGAGGGGGACTGAATACAGATAAGGATTAAGAGTCGGGAAAGGTTCAACGAATCGTCTTCTTTCTCTAATAATTTAATGAAACGTCAAAGCTTCGCGCGAGAGGGAGTGGAACAGAATTTAGACAAGGATTAAGAGTCGAGAAAGGTACAACGAATCATCTTCTTTCTCTAATAATTTAATGAAACGTCAAAGCTTCGCGCGAGAGGGAGTGGAACAGAATTCAGACAAGGATTAAGAGTCGAGAAAGGTACAACGAATCGTCTTCTTTCTCTAATAGTTTAATGAAACGTCAAAGCTTCTGCGCTTCGCACAGGAAGGGGACTTTATACAGATAAGGATTAAGAGTCGGGAAAGGAATCGTCTTCTTTGTCTAATAATACGTCAAGGCTTCCGCGCTATGCGCAGGAGGGGCGGGGGAGAGACTGAATTCAGACAAGGATTATGAGTCGAGAAAGGTACAATGAATCGTCTTCTTTCAAAGCTCCCTTCCCTGCATAATGTCCCTGCACCCACCCCCTAGGGAGCGCACTTCGCACGCTTCGCCACCCTAAAATATAATCCTAGCTACGCGCTTGTTAGAGCAAGGTCCCCAAACAGAATATATACCTGAATAATTTAATTTCTTTAAATAAAAAATACTTAACAACTAAACTACCTTAAGAGACTAAAAGCAATTACACATGGGAAATATTTACAAAAGATATAGATCGATGTAATTTGAAAAGGAGAAAATGGGAAGATATATACATAAGGATGGAGAGCGAAAGCGCAAACCATGCAGAACAAAACAACAACAGAGAAAGTTTGAGAAGGAAGAAAGTTATATGTAGGAGAAATGGTGATGGGGAAGAAAAAGAAGAGAGAGAGAGAGAGAAAACGTCCAATAGAGCAAAACAGAACAAAACGAGTTTGCTAATAAAAGAAAAAATGTTGATAAGGGAAGGGCCAGGCTTTAAAAGAGGGGGGAGGGGGAGGAGACAATAAAGCAAGAAAAAGAAAAATGACACACTACATCATGCATGTGATGATCAGTAGCGTACGCAGGATTTTTTCAAGGGGGGGGGGGGGGGAGGGGTTAACATTTTGAAATCGGGCGGGGGGGGGGGTAAGAGGGCATTTTTTTTTCGTTCTAAAAAAAATCAAGGGGAGGGCCGGGATAAGAAGACACTTTTTTTTTGGGGGGGGGGGGGGAGATCCCCCAAAATCGCAACGAAGGGGGGGGGGGAGGGGGGGGGGGGTAAGAGGACACTTTTTTTTTGGGGGGGGGGGGGTCTCGAAATTTGAAAATTTAACATTTTTCTACGTTGGGGGGGGGGGGGGGGTACGTAAGGTCACCTGTTTTAAGTCAGCCATTGGCATAATTATTATTATTTTTGTTTTTAAATTTAAAAAAAAAATACCAAAAATAAGGGGGGGGGTTCCTCCAAAATACACACATAAAAAATACCAAGGGGGGGGTTCAACCCCTAACCCCCCCCCCCCTCCCTGCGTACGCGCCTGGTGATGACATATTTTTTACATTAAATACTTCCAGCATAATTACTCAATAGATATAATTTCAGATTGCGTTTAAAAACAGAGACACTGATAGAGCGAGTTACATCAATAGGAAGTGAGTTCCAAAACTTGGGACCAGTATACTCAAAGCAAAGGCAGTTCTTATATGGAGTGCAGGGCAGTTGCCAAAGTAAATTTGAACTGTACAAAATTAATCTTGTCTTTTCAAACAACGTAAATTTGTTATGTACTTCAATTTCCCTTTTTGCGTAGAAATCTGCCTTTTCATTTCCCAAAGCGCTAAACGTACAGTAGGCCTAGTGAAAAATGAAAAAAGAATATATAGGTGTCACCTGATCTTAAACTGATCACATGACAATGATTCAGCGACGCATAGCTCCATATTGGCATAGACCTATGCTTGTACGTACGCAGTCATCTTGCATTTTGTTCCGGGCCGTGTGATCAACATTGCAGTACGTAGTATACAGAGTCACGGGATACATTCTAGCAGCCTTGATCTTGCAAATTAATGAATTTGTCTCGGTTTTACGTTCACAAAGACAAAGACAAAGATCAAAGAAGACTCAAAGTCATTACCGAATATCGCAAGTAGATAAACCTGTCACCCTTCCTTTGTTTGTGTTACAATACATGGTTGCTTCGCCTTCCTGGACGGTATTCTGAAACTTGTTTGTTATTTTAATTGATAATTAATTGATTATTTTTGAGTGTTGATGTTGTAACTGTATCTTTGCTGTTACTGGTACCAGGGATATCTCCCTTGTTTGCAAAGATTTTCATAGCAAATGTGTTTGTTGAAGTCGGATATTGATTGATGAAAGAATACAAAATTTAGGTTTTCTGCGTAGATCTAGGCCTAGACCCGGCCCTACATCATGATCTACAACTATCTAGATCTAGAGTCTAGTCTAGAATAGATCTAGATAATTCTATAGAGATATCGACTGCTTTGAGAGGCCTGGCTGTTTTATAGAGGTCTAGATGTTTTATCAATGTTTGTCTTCAAACACATTTTTGGGAGGAAATCTTTGCAGAATTGTGACTTTAAAGTTAAATGACATCCTCTTTCACATTATGATACAATTTGCTTTTGCCATCAAATTTTGGGCAAATCTGATCTGAGGCTTTAGTAGTAGAGGTAGGTCTATACTAGCGGCCTATACCAACACAATTCAGACTTAATGTAGAGTAGAGGGTCGATGGGCTCAGTTTAAGATAAAGTTGGTATTCTGAAAATTTTTGTATCTTTTATTTTATCTTATCTTAGATCTACATGGTATTTACAACAATATTTACAATAGGTAGATCTAGGGGTTTTTTTTGGTATTTTTTGCAGTGATGCAATGGCGGCAATCTTCCTTGCCTAGCTCCAACTTTGTGTCAATGGCAAATTGGCAATAGAACAGTTAAAAGAAGATTATGTGTCACTGAAGAAACCACAGAATAGAACTTTATAATAAATTACAGGCTAGGATATGATGATTTTGATGCTCTCTGTGATGTTTCTTTTTTGCTTGTTGCCATCCAACTTTACGGTGAACCTTAAAGTGAAAGCTTGACTGGTCTTCTTGATATGCCACATCTTGTTCAATATAATTTATTATGATGCGTAATAAGCTCTCAATCAACTAATATCATGCCCCAAATTAGTATGCGCAGCTCAGAGCGCATTTTTCAGATGTGGCATAAAGTACTCCTATTTTAGTATTGGTTGACCTACTTCTTGCTTACAGAATGCTCGATTGTTTAAAGACCGTCAAAACTACTGGGCCAGAAGGGATTAGACCACACAGCATGGTCACTGACAGGTGGCTATCTCATTAACTCAGCTCTCAACTAACATAAGAAAAAGAGGATCATGGGGGACCAACAGGCACCGATTGGGGAAGTTTTCTATATAGAGGGAGCAAGTAGCTACAAGTAGGACAGTGGGGCTTTAATAGGGTCCACTAAAATGGGCGCGTCATAGATAAGACAGAGGCTGTCTTTCAAGAGATATTATAGGGCTAAGATAATTTTAACAATACCAACTTAAAACAATATTAACACTCTATTATGACCGGAAGATGCAAGGAAAGATAAGACAAAAGTTACAACAATTTTCAGAATACCGCCCCATACCAGGGGGTGTTTCACAAAGATCCTAAGTTGAACTTATCTCTAAGTTGGACTTAACAATTATGGAAAGCCATTAGCATCCTTGAAAATATTTTGTAGCAGTTATTTTAAAAGGCATAAAATGTTGATTCAAATTATTCATATTTTCTATTATCATGGAAGATTTCATGTTCTTGATGTAGAATTGATGAAATGAAAAGTCTAAAATAATTGAATTTTTGCTTTTGAATATATTTCATTATAAGGCTACAAATGGCTCTCCATAATATTTAAGTCCAACTTAGAGTTAAGTTTGACTTAGAATCTTTGTGAAACACCCCCCTGGTGTTGCCTGTTGTATAAATAATATCAATTATAATTTCATTCATGCAGGCAATTCCAAACTTAGGAGTGATTTCCGATCAGAATTTTGTTGTACCAGCAGACCGGTGATTCCCCGAAAAAGCTGAGCCTGGCGACCGGAGCAGTTTCGACCTCCACGGAAGTAGCAGCACTATATTTTGATCTACTCCAACGTTCTTTCAAAATGGTTTTTCATAGATATAGTGAACATTTGATTTCAACGATCGTCATCTTGCTCACATTATGTATGTGGCGGTGTGCTGCATATTTATGCCACCAAGCCGATGCAGAGAAGGATACATGCACATGCCAATTTGATGATCCAACCAAGAAAGTGATCGATTTTTCACCAATCTCTCGCAATGATGGTCAACCAGAGTAAGTAAAATAACAATATAAAGTTACAAAACTAATTGAACCTACATAGGTGTGTTGGCTCAGTCAGTAGAGCGTCCACCTCACAACCGGGAGGTCGTGAGTTCGAACCCCGGCTGCGTCATATCAAAAGACGTTTTTTAAAAGACGGGAGTTGTTGCTACCTTGTTTGGCGTTCAACACTAAGGGATAGAGCAACGTCGATCTGGCGCTGCTCAGTGGCTGCCGGGCTCACGATCAATTGGGCAAAAGGAATTTCCATTTTCGGTTTAACTTATTAAAATTTGGAGTGGACTGTAAAAGATCATTATTATTATCATTATTATAGATTTATAAGTCTACAAGGGGGAGAATAATTGGCTCTGTCGGTAAAGCATCTGCCTGCCGAATCAAAGATAGTGGGTTCGAATCCAACCTCAGCGTATGACTGAAGCCTGGATTGTGTGTTAACGTGCCCCTCCCCTGTTTCATAGACAAAGGCTTTGTTACCAGTGGAAAACTTTCTGTCCCTCGGATAGGACGTTAAATGCAGGCCCCTTGCAGAGATGAATTACCACTTTTATTAGGGACTTTCAGATTTGCACGTCCACATAGTGGACTGCTAGTGTGACGTCCTTATAAGGCACTGGCAGTGCCTTTAAAGGACACGTAACATTGCCTTAAAAGGACGTCACACGTAGTCCACTACTGTATGTGGACGTGCAAATGTAAAAGTCCCTATTATCGGTTATAAAGGGAGAAGAGACCCAAAGGTTACAGCGACTCAGTTGGCTTTTAGCCTCCCAGGCACAGGTGACACCAATACTTAGTAATAATAATAATAATAATAAATGATAATGGATTCTAAATAACCTAAACAAGCATTCGTAAACACATTGAATAACAATCCTGTCAATAATCTGTCGGGGTTAAGGATATTTCCTTGTATTTTATTCGGCTCAAATCTTAGTAGTGAATGTGAATTTATACATTCTTATAAATCCAACGAAGAGACAATAAATAGATACTGTGACTTGTGACATGCCTATCTGTCTAAGCCTTTTTCTCCAATTGAACAGAAGGTCCATACACATTACACTCCTACATTTACATCAACCATGCAGGGGTGCAACATGTGTACCCAAGATGAAAATCCAATTGAATCCCCATCAAATCCCAATTGAATACCAATTGGCAATTTGGAGTACATGGAAAGTAAACAATGGGTACCTATTGAAACCAATTGGTCCCCATTGAAACTAATTGCCAATTGGTTCCAATGGGGACATTCAATCGGGATTCACTTGGTAAATCGATCCAGGTAGAAGAACCAGTGATAAACTGATACTTCATAAACGATATTGGCAACTGTCCACCAATTAGGTATATTCTATTCTCAATTGTATTGACTCCATCACATAGATCATTTGAAGTGTATTCAAGAGTAACATACAAAGTTACATAGGCTCGTACACATTGTTTCTTGGTTAGTAATCATATAATCAATATATCTATTGCTAAAACGTGAATGTAATTGTAACATGATCAGACAAAATAATCTATTGGTTAATAATGGCAAAAGGAAAATAGAAATCACAAAAATGATGTGCATTGTCTTAATTTGCTTAACAAATTATGATAAATGTATTTTTCTGTCACACGTGTAAAGTAATAATGAATATGCATGAGATGATTGGTTTCAATTGGTTTCAATTGGCCCTATTCGACTTTAATGGGATTTCAATTGGACCAATCGGCCCCATTAGACTTTAAAAGGTCTTCAATTGGTTTCAATTGGACCAATTGAATTCCAACTTCAGGCCAATTGGTCCAATTGAAACCAATTGGAGTCCCATTAAAGTCTAATGGGGCATAGGCCAATAGGGCCAATGGGTCCAATAGGTCCAATAGGGACAATCTGGACCAATTAATTGAAACCATCTGAAGTCCTATTAAAGTCCCATTGAAACCTGTTAAAACCTATTGAGACCAATTGAAACCAATTGGAACCAATTGAAAATTCAATTGGTGTTCAATTGGTTTCAATTGGATTTTCGTCTTGGGATATGTACAAGCATATTTTCAAATAACATTGTACAGTGTATATATATATTTGTATATATGGATGAGTGGTTTAGAAGTGTACATACAAAAGAGTGGTTAGAATTGGGTTCTAAGGGCTTCCGTTTTACCGTGCGTACATGTGTATGGATGCGGACATTTCAGGGTTTTTTTTAATATAAACACTGTACCTTTAACTAGAGAGAATTCAACTTGCAACATCTCTAATCCTGTTTCGAAAGAAGTATTGTACATTTTGAAGGTGACATTTGGATATTTGCAAAGTACATTTAATGGCATGGAACTCAAATTATCCAGAACAAAATAAGGCTCGTGAATGAACCCCCTTCAAACAATTGTGTTTTGTGAAAAATATAATTTGAAACATTGATGATATCTTAGAAACGACACTGCTTTGATATGCATTTTTACATATGTATCATTGAATTAGCCAGTTCACGGTTGCAGTCTGAGCATGAGAAGATAAAGGTCATTGCAGAACAAAATGTGAAATACACGGAGACAAAATTCTGGATATATATATGCTCGTGAAAGTTATGTAATCATTATTCATGTATGCACTCCATTATACACAGGTGGAAGTATTCTTTGAAAAGGGGAAACAAATGCTATTTATGTAGCACCTCCATCGCTGTAGGAGTGATTATTTCAAAAAGTACAAAGTGGGACCTCTTCATGTTTTGAAGATCTGTGGATATTTGGGGTCATTGCCAGTTGCGGATCCAGGGGGGTAAAAAGGGGGCACGTGCCCCCCCCCCCCCCCAGCCAAAAAAAAATGTGTTAAAATCAGCCCTAAATTCGCCCAAAATTTACTGAAAAACAGGGGCGTGCCCCCCCGGCCAATCTCTTTCCCACCGTGTGCCCCCCCGGCAAGAAATTCCTGGATCCGCCCCTGATTGCAGTAATGTACTAACCGTGAACTGGTCTATTGTCTTGTAAATTACAGATTTCCTTTTGATGAATACGGTACTACTGTGCCAGACTGGACATACGCTTTCAACCCTTGTTCCAAATTTGATGGACCAGGGGTTTGCAAAGAATCTTCTGTAAGTATCTTGGTTTGATTTTAAATTAAATTCTTTTTAGTATTTTTGCTTTGCTTTACCAATAAAAATGAGAGGCAACTATATCTGGGCCTTACTTTATTCTACATATATTCTTTTGTCATGTGTAAATTTGCAATATTTGTTTGTTATATATTTGTAAAAATGCAAAAGAAAAAGTAAATCAAACAGAAATAAATAAATCAAATCAAATCAAATTAAATCAAATCAAATATATTGCATGAACATTATCACTGATTAACTTTGCCATCAGTGTTGAATCCCATGGCAACATACATGTAACTCAACAGCCGTTCAAATCAGTTTTCCATGGAAGGTACCATTAATGGCAAAGTTAACATCAATGATAAGTTTTATGCCACGTACAGGGCCCAGTTCCAGCGTATTACATAATACCTATACCTCAGCCTGAAATAACCTGCCACAGTTTAGTAAAGAATCAGATCTGTAAACACAATAAACAAAATACCTGATCCCTTGGGCAACTGTACATTTCTGAACAAACAAAATCTTGAATGAATTCACGCAGACGGACGGTGCCTATGGTAACTTCTTACGTATAAAGTTATGCAATAAAATCAGAGGTATCCGGCCGTCAAGTCATACTTGATTGAGCAAGTCATAAAGGCGTAGTTTAACAATGTTAAATCTGAGATGCACGGCCCTACGTGTTATCAGTTTCCCTGATATGGTGTTATATTGAAGCCCTAAAAACAATTACGCTTCAGAATGATCAAGAAGTGCCTCAAAAAACTAAAAACCTTTGAGTGACCGGTTTTACCATACTCGCTTTCCCCAATAGACTGTAGTGTTATGAAAACCGTTAGGAAAACACAAAATTTGATTTCGATTTCCAATCATAAATATCTTGATAATCAGACAGGCGATCGGCTTATAAAAGTCATAGGGTTCCTGACTGACCTAAAGGTTTATAACTATCATTGAAGCATGAGCTAAATCCAGGATTTTGTTTGAGAATCTGAGACAAAGTTACCCAATCCCTTTAAAGACGAAATGACCATATTTCAAAATTGACAAGATTGTTATTTCTCTATTGCAATGAGTGACGGACAACTTCATGACTGTCGGCACTGTGTGTAGGTATTGGACTGGTTAATGAACTCCTGGTACCTTGTTAACTTTGAATCCATTATTTCATGGTTGACGGAGCACAATTTAAAGGAAAACATAACCAGTACAATATTAGTAGATGATCTTACAATAACTAAATACAATCAATAAAAGTAGGTTAAAGGTATAGACCAGTTTTGGAAACGCCCCCCTCTTAAAAAATGAAATGGAAGATTTTATTACCAATCATGTGAAAGAATATGTTTTGACTAATACGTGATGATACAAATTTTGCCAGGAAACCGCCTACCTATTGATATATTTGGTAAATTATCATATCGATCCGGCCTGGATAGATATCGCGTTGTCCCATTTACATCTCTCTGTGTACAGTGCTTGTAAATTTACCAAGACTGGGCCAACTTTCTTATCATTTTGATGATTCCAGAACCTTGCAGTACACACAAATACTTATATGCTAGATGATCAACTGTTTCTGATCGATTCCACAACGTTTCTTTCACAATGCAATCACAAGACCAGAACTGGGCCCTGTCTTTAAAGAGCTGATATCAATCGTAACTTATTTACGATTGAAAGAGATAGGAGACTGCAAACTTGCGATTGATTGGAGGACTTACGATTGATTTGGATTGATCGTAACTCTTGTAAGACGGGGCCCTGGTCTATACCTTTAATGACATGACTTCAATAACATTTAACGTTTGAATCTTGGTTATGAATCCTTATTTGGTTATGCAGGTTTGTCAGCAGTCAAAGAGCACGCCTGACACTGTTTTCAACCTGGGTAATCCTGCTCCTACCACTTGGAATCCGGAAGACGAAAACACCATCAAAGTCACCTATGCTCCGACTGACGGAAGGTACTGTAACAGTAATAATAGTTGCAATTTACGGTAAATACGCAAATAAGAATGCACTGTCACCTCCCCACCGTAAATTACTGCTGCCATCTCTTGGTAACTGTAGGTCCAATCATTCTGGGTCAAAGAACTTGTATTTCCAAATTGTCAGCCGGCTACTTTGCTGCAATATTTTGGTGAATTTTGGAGCAATTTTAGTGCATTTGTAGCTATTTTCTCATATAACTATAAGGATGTTCTTCCATGATTGAGATTCCAAGACTTGCTAGATCTTCAAAGATGGTAAGGAAAAGAGGAGAAAAGCCCTCTTGTGTCTTATATAGAGCAAAAAGTGAATAAACTATGACAATCAGGTAAAAAGCATTGTTGAAGCTGCACATAGAGGTTGTTGTTGTTGTTGTTGGGTTTATCCGCGCTATCCATCGATTCCAATGATTTCCGCCAGGCTGTGTGTGAGGGCGTCTTGCTCTCACTTCTGCTGCTCTACGTTTCTGTGAATCTGATACTTGCCCAGTGTGTGAGATAAAGATTTACCTTGACCTTTGTTATTGGCGAAGTGCAAGGTTATGGAGGATTAATGTGCTCGTTAGTCATTTAATGTTAGAGCTGGTTGGAATTAATATCATGAAGTTTTGGTGTCAATTTATAGAGTCAATTTATAGAGGGATATTAAATCCTCTTTTAAATCAGCTGGAGAAAGTTCAAGGTGATGACATGGGCTGGAAAGTGAGATGCTGGACTGTTATTGAAAATCAAAAGGAGGAGGGGGTAGTTCATAAATGGTAACTTTCCTTGTACTGCTACAATCCTGTATGTCTTTAAAAATACAATTTATAAAGTTTCATTGAAAGATATATGGAAGTTACGTGCATTTTTGTGAGGTTACATTATCAGGTAGTTCATCCTTATGTGTTCCACCCTACATAAAGCACCTTTTCCACTGGATACAAAGCACTTTGAGATGCCATCTATGAGTTATTTCTAGAATTAAAATATATGCAAGTTACCAAGCAGTGACAGTGTAAGTTCAATAAATTGCATAATATGGTTTCAGAATAGATATACAGTGCGTCCCAGAAAAAAACAAAACCGAGAATTACCTATGTTTTATCATAACTTAATCACGATTATAATTAATAAATGACACATATTTGTGAAGCTTAGTTTCTCCTCTTTCATTCGCTGCAACTCATTTGATGCATTATTCACGCATGAGTGATTAAAAACAATTTGAAGAAAGGGTACCAAAAAGTCATTTGGCGAATGGTATCGAAATTTCAAAGAAAAAAAAAAATCACATTTCTAGAAAGTTTTATATGACACCTCAATTAGGAAAAATGAGCCAGGAATAACAAAGTTCTGTTTGTTTAAAGTAATGCTTCATTTCCATTATTTTATTAAAGGAATCTGTTCCACAGGCTGTCTGTCCTTACAACAAAAAATATGAAAGACTTCATGCATGGCTGATCCTCAACGAACATAATTTGTTAAACTTATTAATGACTGCTTTGAGAGAAATAGTTGTTTTTATATGCTCAAGGGAAGGTTAGAATTGTGCTATTGCCCGAGGCATGCCGAGGGCAATAGCCCAACTGTAACCTTCCCGAGAGCGTATAAAAACAACTATTTCTCGAATATTAAAGCAGTCATTAATACTTTTATATGCTGAAAACAAAAGAGTCAACTTATGACACCACCTTGGCCTTTCTCTAGTTTATCTGCACGGTTGTTTTTATGAGTGTATCTTTGAGAGTAGACTAGATCTAGATTCTAGTCTAAGCAAGATATTTTTACAATTTTTGGGGTGGGCCGGCCCTGTGGGGAATATGGAGAATAACATGCAGTTTCATATGACACCTCACTTGTTGAGTATCACCTTCAGAATCATGAGCAATCTTAGTTTACAATGCCAATGCATATTGCAATGCAATGCCAGTGCGCAGTGCCAATGCATAGGGATGTGTGTAATCTGAATTCCGTGCAATCTCTACGGGAAGGATTTTAGCACTACGAGACCTACTTACTAGAATCTAGGTCTAGACTTTTGAAAAAAAATTATGGAGAATTTAACTTACCCTTTTTGGTGCTCTGTCTAGCATGTCCCTGCTGTCAGCAAGTTTTGCATTTGATCATCTTGGTTGAAATCTTGGGAGAGTTTCTTCAGCCATTTTTGCCTTCGGTTTGAAATTACCGACCAATTCTTTGCACACGTACGGTATCCTCGATCGCTCAAACCAGTTTTTAACATGTGAACCTATGGGTATTTCACCAAGACTGAACTATTTTCCTGGTAACCATGGTAACTGGGATTTTAGAACTATTGTTTTAGAAATATTGCATGGGTTTGGAATTTTACCGGGAATTTTACAGGAATAGTTAAAGTTTATGAATGCAATTTCGACCAATCAGATGGCTGGATTTCTTAAGTGAGGTATATAATGCTAAATATCTTACTCATTGCGGATGTAGTATCAAAAATAATATTGCTAGTGACATTCATTTGTCTTGCAATGTATGGTCAACAAGGAATCTAAAAGATCACGACATTTCATGTGCCACTGCTACGTACACTTCGTCTGGCCCACATCAAGCCAGCGGCCCGTTGATTGGTTGAGCATGCCATTGTTCTCGCCCTGCAGGCCAGCCGAGCCGACGGCCCGTTTATTGGTTGAGCACCTGTGTGCTTCGACCAATAGGCTTTGTCCGTTATTGTTCTAATTATTTGACCGCCGGTCCACCTGGTCCATTCGGTCCATCCGTAGAGACGCTTGCATACAATATATTTTATTACCTGACGAAGTGTAGCAGCAGTCGAAACATAGTTTGTTGTTTGTTGCTATGGCAGGCAGCCATTAAAAACAAATTTGTTTAATAAACTTAAAGAAATCGGTAGCCTAGCAGAGCCAGGGTAATATTGGAGCCCCTTGTATGGTGGATATGTGTGCTATGAGTTTTTGTTCTCCAATATTGTATTATTACTAAAAGTTTTATGCCTAATTTGCTAAGACCTGATAATGAATGCCATGTCCTTGCCATGAGTTTCACTAATTGGGAATGTAAAACCTCTTAGATTTAAACATCTTATTGCTTGTCTCCAGAAATATTCAAATTTAATGTTGATCATTTTTTATTTTTTATGTTTCAGGACATCAGTTGTTAGCTTCACTTGTGATAAAACAGCTGTAACAAAGCCCATTCTGAAGTTTGTTGACGAAAGTCCACCAAAAACTTATGTGAGTGCATTCATTAAAGGCATCGTTTAACCATGTTAAATCTGAGATGCATGGCCCTACATGTACGTGCTTTCAGTGTTTGTGATATAGTGTAATATTGAAGCCCAAAACAAATTGCACTTCAAAACGATCATGAAGTTCCCCAAAAAAGTAAGAATCTTTGAGTGACCGGTGTAGTGTTATGATTTCGATTTCCAATCATAAATATCTTGATAATCAGATGGCCGATCGGCTTGTAAATGTCATGGGAATCATGTATGCCCTAAAGGTTTATAATTATGATTGCAGCATGAGCTAAATCAAGGATTTTATTTTAAGGATCTGAGACATAAGTTACAGGATCCCTTTAAAGGCCAATTTAGTACAACCTCACTCCAAGAAAGAACTTTAGTTATTCTGAGAGATTTATTGTATTCTTGCCCATTATTAATCTTTGAGATTCCACATCAAAGTGTATGAGAGGTACACCGCAAGATATTCTTAGCGTAATGTACAGAATCTCTTCACCACATGGGCATTGCCATTGCCCAAGTTGTTTATTGATTAAATGTATTCAAACTTTAATGGATGTTTACTTCCCACGTGTGTATGGTGATGGAGTATTTCATTCACCTGTTATTACTTTGTACTACAGCTTTCAAACTGCATAAATAAATGGGGGTGGCTGTTTTTTGGCATAAATGAGATAGATTTGTGAAGTGCTATATTTTTTAATATTTTTAGAACAGTGGGTTAAAATTGCCCCTCCCACCTCTTACCGGTATATATTTATCAGCAGATATGTACATATTTTTTTTAAAATAATATTTCTTTTAGCAGATATCTTATTTACCTTCTCAGCTCTGATTTTCTTTCATTGAAAAGTAAAGGTTTAGTTATTGAATTAAAAAGTCTTTCCAACTATAGCTTGATGCATGATACATGTACAAGTTTGCCTGGTACGTCACATTATCAAGAAAATGGCTGGGCCCATGCCACACTAAGGATTACATCATGCCAAGAATATCTTCATTTTTATTTCTCTTGTACATTTTCGTAAGGAATATCATACATCAATAGGCAGAATTAATCTCATCTTTCTGCGTACCTTAACTTATTCTTTGGGGTTAGGTTTTTGTTAAGTTTGGAGCCAGAAGGGCATTAACTCGTATACTTTCAGAAAAGCGCAGAATTAGAGTTAAGACAAAGCTCAGGCAAGCATCAAGCTCTAAACCCAAGACCCTTTGGCATTGTGGTCTTGCCCTCATTGCCCAAGAAAACTCTGGGCTGAAACGGGACTTTACAGCCACCTCCAAACCCAAAATCCTGATTAAGCAAATGGTGAAAATGGTCATCTTTTCTTGTGAGGAGGGCAAACCAACAAATAATAATAATGATAATAATTCGGATCTATATAGCGCTTAATACGGTTTATCCTCTCTAAGCACTTCACAAATACTATTACCCCGGTCATCGGATTCATTCACGCACAATGTGCACCATCTCCACTCCCTGGGGAGTTCTCGTACCATATGGCCGTCACCGTGAGGGCATAGGCAATTACTATCACAAATGCTTTCATCGTCCTACCAGGCCCCCATTTCTCTCTTAAAGGCAGGCTTTACTACTTCAGCCAGAAGGGATTAGACTCTCATTTAACATAAGAAAAAGAGGATCATGGGGGACCAACAGGCACCGATTAGGCATTGATTTCTATATAGAGGGAGCAAGTAGCTACAAGTAGGCCAGTGTGCCTTTAACCTAAATGTATCTCTTTTCTCGCCTCAGAATTTTGTCGTGATGACGTGCCACGCTTGCCTTGAAACTGTACCAGGCTGTATCAAGAAAGGAAACAGTAACAGTCTAACCCCGGGAGGAGTGCTTTGTATCATGTGAGTTTACAAACCTTTATAACAGGTGCTTGTTAAAGACCCTGTCCGATGAAATACAATTTTATATCAATGGAAAGCTGAATGACCGTAGAATACAAATAAAAAGGAATAACAAATATTTTCCCTCTCACTATTACACAATAGCAAATTTTAAGAACTCTTATCCCACTACCCTCCTAATTACGGTTCAACAGGGGTCAAATATGCCGCAGAGTGTCGACATAACATTTAGACATAATCAGCTCGCCTTTATAGCGTCTATCAGGCGATGAGCCATGCTTAATTAATGCAAAGTTATCGTACATATATGCATACTATACATATAAGATAATATCATCAAGTCGATAAATAGTTTTTAGGTCAACTACATGTACAGTACTTCCGATTTTTATTGCTTTAGATTTCAAGTTTTCAGGGAGCTGTAACTCTATTGACAGACCCTAAAATAGCATTTAATTGATATTATTTTAGTCTACATGTATGTCCTATAAGCTTTCCGTTGTTACATAATTCATCTATTTCATTGTTTCCATTTCCGACAGGGTCTTTAAAGCTCATTGCTTCCAGGTCAGAAATACTAATCCAACTTTTCCATTTTGCTCTCTAAATCCCAACCCTGTTTGTACACAACCAATTGGAGAGTAGATGTCCATGACTACATCACAATCCACTGACCAAACTTGCTGATGTAGAGATTCGCACAAATGTAGTGATTTCATACATGTATTTCAAACATTCGTATCTTTCCTATGATTAGTCCGGTTTATTTAAAACTTTTGCCATTCTGTTTCTCTCATTAATCTGCTTACATACTACACATAAACATAAACATAAATTAAACAAAGCATGTACAGTGTAATGCGTTTTAAAAAGCTAGTTCAATATTAGTTTCATCTCTCTATCTGTTATGGCATGACAAATGTTTAACACTTCAGTACTAGTTGTATACATACATGTTTTTTGTTAAATCTTGTTTCAGAAGTTTTAGTGATGCTACAGGGCAAATTATTGTCCAATATTATTTTCATCTCTCTTCTTTTTCTCTTATTACAGATTCACAGTACTGTTGGTTGTGTACTTTGTAGGAGGTATTCTGTTCCAAAAGTTTGGTCGTGGTGCGACGGGTAAAGAGCTGATTCCAAACTATGGATTCTGGTCAGACTTCCCAATATTGATTAAGGTGAGGAGATGATTTCATCTACATAGGCCTGTCTTCATCAGCTCGAGTCTGCCAAAACGTCCGCTATTTTAACTACCGGTATCCTGATCGCAAATTAGCCAGTTAATTTGCATTTTCATCAGCCTGCAGTTGCAATTAGCGAGATATTTTGGTCTTGTTTCTAAAATATCCCGCTATTTGGGAACTGGCAGGCTTATTTGCGCCCGTCTGAGCTAGTTGTGATGAGCGTATCGGTCTGGTGGAGACGCAATTTCGAGCTTCGGGATAATATCCCGAGTCTGAAAATAGCGGGTTATTTGGCAAACTCGAGCTGATGAAAACAAGCCTATTGGCAGGGGTGTTACTGGCAAGAATCACAGACTGTGTCATGTCCCTGGATAAAAACATGAATAAACAAATGCCACAAAGTTTTGAGTGGCATAAACATATCTAAGGGTCTTTCAACATCAAAGTGTTACCAGTAGTTTGTTTTTTCTTCCACTGTTTCCTCTTGTCTTTGTTATGTTCAGAAATACAACATGAATCAATACTCCAAAAAGAAAATCTGAAGTGAGTCTGGGAAATGAGACTAGATCTGAACATGCACAAAACTCTTTGTGCGCTGCCAACCGATGCGGCCGGAGATTCTCGCGGCAGTCTTTTTATAGCATATTTCCATACGATTGCAGTGCTTGCTGAACTTAGAATAACAAATCCTACGTGCACAATATAATTTTGGATCTGTTTGGTTTCTAGAAAAGGTCATGTATGTTACAAATTTGTCTGTTGAGGTTTGTATATATTAAATTGAAGGAAAATATTGAAAAGAAATGTGTTATCGATTATTAACGATTTATCCGTGTCTTTTGCTTCGTAGGATGGCTTTCTTTTCATGATATCACCGTGTACTAAAGACGACGGATACTCATCAATTTGAAAAGTAAGTTTATCCATGAGATTTGTGCGTGTAATACATGTAGTTGTCCGATAGACATTTGACATGCATGTTACCTACAGTTAACAATTAAATTATTCATACCCTTAGTCCTAATACTAAGTTTTGTCATTGTTGAAGTATGTAAATAATTGATTTGTCCCAATTTATTCTTCTTGAGAATTTTTATTTATTTTTTATTTTTTTTAAATTATGTGTTTATTAAGAAATCAAATCATAACATATACAAACTTTCAGACCAGACCACCAACAGGTTGGAGGAGCAAAGTCAAGGAATGAGACAATCCGCTCTACCCCCCCCCCCTCACACACACCCTCAACACTCTCATACGAACACTCAAACAAACAACCGCCCCCTCCCCCCCCCCCAACGCACACAATCCACACGCAATATGCGGGTAAGACAGATCGCCTCACACCCCGACCTCGCCCACTCCAGACACCCAGTCGGCGAATTGCGCAGACAGAGCGTGGGGAAATCAACTGAAGTGATAAAAATACAATGCATTCCTGAATAGGCAAACACGCGTATACTGACCCAATTCTAATCGAGGTTATTGCTCATGTTACACAGTGGCAATTTGATTTGTAAACAAAAATTATATGTACACAAGTAATATAAAATTATTTGGCTATGGGAAATAATTAACAGCAACGTAAAAGGGGAAAAGAAAAAAAAAGAGGTTGGAGTAACAATGAATACTTGTATCTCTGTAAAGGGGCACAGGAATATGTACAGAAGTAGACATGGGAGTACAAAAGACAAAATATTACATAACAATATCACTGTAAGATCATATCAAAAACAAAGAGGAAAAAGAAAGGTCTATATATGATGACACAAAAGCTTGCTTTTTGAGAATTTGACATATTAAAGGCATCGTTTAACAATGTTAAATATGAGACGCATGGCCCTACGTGTTATCAGTGTCTTTGATATGGTGTAATATTGATGCCAAAAAAAAAATCATGCTTCAAAATGATCATGAATTGCCTCAAAAAAGTAAAAATCTTTGAGTGAACGCGGGTTTTACCATACTCGTTTTCCCCAATAGACTGTATTGTTATGAAAACCGTTAGCAAAACGCAAAATTTGATATATTTTCATATTTTGAGTCGCTGGTATTTGTTTGTTGGGTTAGTGGGGTCAATAGCACTATATAGCAACCCATGATATGTGGGGGCATGTCTGAGAGTTTGAACCCAGGACCTACTGTATTTAGACCCCTAATTAGCCCATATTCATGCCTTATCTTTATTCATACATTGTATTTCTCTTTTTTTCATTTCAGGAGAAATAACCTGTTAGCAGCTTGGCCGACCTTTGCAAATGGCAAACCTAAGATTTGTGCATCTATTGCTGATCTGACGGACAACATGAATGAAAGTAACCTGTTGTAATCAACAACAGCTTTTAATGATGTCATCCCCTTAAAGCCCATCTGCACTAGATTGACCAGGGGGATTACACCTCCCTGCAAGGTCACTGACAGGTGGTTATCTCATCAAAGCAGCTCTCAATTAACATAAGAAAAAGTGGATCATGGGGGACCAACAGTCACCTATTAGGCATTTTTTGCTATATAGATATAAGTAGTACAGTGGGGCTATAAAGAAAAAAAATGTGATTATTTTGTAAAACACTGACATCCAAGAAGATTAAACTGCACAGCTTAAGATTTTTGATTAATTCTTTAGAGCAGATGGCCTTCAGTGCGATTGGATTCTGTGACCGTGAAGATTTCATTTGTTGTAAGGGTCAGTACTTGGCACCTAGGAATGATATTAGGTAATGCATCTACCTTATATAAGGTAAAAGTATTTATTTATCTTTAACCTTAACTCCGTTACCATGTGCCTTGAAGTCAGAATGTGGCTTTAAATAAATTCAGGGTATTTCTGGAAAGCCTATGTATAGGGTGTGGTTAGCCGCCCAAAAGGTGATCCAACTTTATACTTCCACCTAGGATTGCTTCAGGCTTTCATTTTTTAAATATATAGGGTTACTATAGGGTTTCAAACTTTCGGTTGCACTGGTTTTAAAGAGAAGGTTGAGTTCTGGGGAGAGATGAAAAATAATTTGTGAGCGTTTTCATTGTTATTATGCAAGTTTGGAAGAACATCAGAGAAAAAATGTTCTCTGAAAAGCATGGCTCTTCAAATGCCTTCATATTCTGAAATTTAAATATATGACATGTAACAGCTTTAAAATGTAGGCCTCATTTTTATGCCACATGCTTTTGTGGTCCCATATATCTTTCTGTGTACAGGGCCTGTTACTTTTACTAAGACTGGGCCAAATTTCTTATCATTTCGTTGATTTTAGAACCTTGCGGTACACACTAATACTTATATGCCAGATTAACTTTTTCTGATCAATTCCACACCGTTTCTTTCACAATGCAATTGCATGACCAGAACTCAACTTCCTCTTTTAATTGTAGCTGCCGTGAGGTTATTTCACATAGAGTAGAGCATTAAGGACATGAGAAGTGAAAATAATGTTTTCTTTCCTGGTCATCAACTAACCTCTGCTTTCTTTTCCTCATTTTGTTTTGCTGATTTGTAACTCATGCCTCATTCTTGCACAGTAAATGCTGGGTGAATTGCTGTTTCGAAGTTTTCCATATCCAAAAGATGAACACGATCACTATTGATTCTCTTATCTGTTTAATACCATCACTATACATGGGCTTGAAACTTAATATTTATATTGATGCTTTCTTCTGTGTGCTTCTTTGTTCTGAAATTAAACATTTTTCTCCTGCTTGTTTTGTAGTGTGATCATGTACTTAATGATTGTACAATGTAGTGCTTGTAAGTTGTTATGATGATATTAACAACACAAAATGTGTGTTTACTTGTTGCTTTTTAAGTGATGTACTTCAAGGTTTGCTTATGTTCATTATATTTACATGCTGTATTATGAAAAGTGTCTGTCTCTTCGTAAGTTATCATTCAAATGATTCATTCAAATGATTTTTTATTTTTTATGCCAAACATAATACAATAAATAAGTATATTACAAAAAATATATACAATGAAACGACAAATATAATAGTAATGGCACGAGAAAAGAGGAACTAACTAGAAGCAGAGCTTGTTGAATTATTAGTTCCTCAGATGTGAGTTAGATAATAGGAAAAGTATATATATTTGTACATGTTAGAAGGCTGTAAATGTGAATTGTTTGTGGATTGTAAGTTGTATTTAAGAAGCAAAATTTTCGTCTCAGATCAGTAGACATTATGAAATAGATGTATGTGCCATTGTAGTTTTGCAAGTCGTCACTTTTTTCTACATTTTAATGTATTTATTCATGGCTCTGAGTAAAGTTTGAAATGCATATCATGGACATGTCAGTCCATAGAATGCATCATCAACGGCACTTGGTGATACAGTGAACCTGTCTATAAAGACCACCCAAGGGAGACAAGAAAAGTGGTCTTTATAGGCAGGTGATCTTTATGTACAGGTTCCTTCAGTACCATACATGTTTCAATGAGAACCCATTTTCAAGGGAAATAAACAAAAATGCGGTCTTTGTAGACAGGTGGTCACTAAAGCAGGTTTGACTGTATTATTTTCTGAAGCTACTTTATCAAGTACGTACATTGTATGTTATATGAATGTATGTAAGTGATCAATTGAAACATTTGACCTTTTTTCAATTTGAAAATTGGAATGTATCATAATACATTAATGTGCATGTAGTGTCATGTCAACCCTGGTAAAATCGTGTTCGGATTGTGATAAATATGTCATGAATATGGCTCATAAGAAGGAGTTGCAATAGCCATGTTAAATTGGACGACCGGAATGAGGCTAGCCTCATCCATTAAAGTGCAACTTTCTATTAGTAATGAATACCAGTAAGTGAGTTTTTTATACTCACCTGGATATGTAACATTGTAAGTAGTAGTTTTGGCTTAACTATTTAGCTGAATTGATCCATGAGCTTAAAGTGTAACTATGTATTAGTAACAATTTTTTTTAAATGTTTTGTTTCAACTCGGTGGGCAAAATTCAAAGGGGTAGTTTTAGACTGAATAGTAGAGGTAATTTATTGCACAGAAGTAATACCTTCGTCTTTGTATAGACTAGTTTGATAATAGTAGAAGCTGTAAGCTGAATAGTAAAGAATTTTCATTGCATAATAGTAAAATAAGGCTGATTAGTAAAACTAGTTTATTGCTTAATAGTAAAATAAGGCTAATTAGTAAAACTAGTCTATTGCTTAATAGTAAAATAAGGCTGAGGAGTAAAACTAGTTTATTGCTTAATAGTTAAATAAGGCTGAGGAGTAAAACTAGTTTATTGCTTAAAGGAAACTGAAACCCCAGTAATAACTTTATTTATTCTGAGAGATTTATTATATTATTGCCCATAAATCTACAAGATTCCCCACCAAAGTGTATGAGAAAGGTATAAAGCAAAAATAAAGTACAGTTTCTCAGCACGACATGGGCATCGCCATTTTCTTGATAATGTGACGTACTATGTGAAGTCGTTTATCAAGTAAATGTATTCAAATTTATGGATGCTTCTTTCCCAGACGTGTGTGGTGATGAAGCATTTCATTCACCTGCTATTATCCTTTGTACTATAATTGCCAGAACGCAAATTGCATAAATTAGTTAGTGCTCTTCTGGGTTGAAGGTTTCTCGTAAATGAATTAGATTTGTCAACCGCTATAGTGTAGTATTTATAAATGAAGTTTGTTACAATTGTGCCCCTATTATTTATTTTTCACCTAATATAATTTCTATCATCTCAGTTATTACTTTTTTTGTATTGAAAAGTATAGGTTTTGTTATTGATTTAAAAATTCTTTCCAACTAAAGCTTGGTGCATGATACATGTACAACTTCAACAGGTACGTCACATTTTCAAGAAAATGGCTGCGCCCATATCATGCTGAAAGGCATCACATCATGCCAAGAATATCTTCATTTATATATATATATATATCTTGTACATTTTCGTTAGGAATAATGTACATCAAAGGGCAGGTATACCTACACCTATTCTTTGAAGTTTAGGTTTCCTTTAATAGTAAAATAAGGCTGAGGAGTAAAACTAGTTTATTGCTTAATAGTAAAATAAGGCTGATTAGTAAAAATAGTTTATTGCTGAGCACTATCACTCTAGTTTTGTAAATATATGTGTATATGGACTCCATAGATATTTTTTTCTTCAATTTCATATATGAGAAATATTAGTGCTAGGCTGAATAGTAGAACTATTATTTTATTGCATAATATACACTTAAGCCTGATAGGATACTAGTTAATATCACCTTGTTTATATATTTTTACCTTGAATCATGAAGAAAAACAAGGTATCTGTTCTCTTTTTTGTTCATTTTTACTTGTGCATACTTGTGTATAATTTAGCAGCGTAGCATGGCAAAAATTAGTACATGTTAAAAAATAGTAGTTGCTGAAATCCTTCTAACTTAATGCCTGTATGTAAATATGGTCTCCTTTTTATACAGAATTGAGTTTATTGTATTTTTCTTTTGGGTAGTGCACACTTCTTTATATTAAATGGTTGAAATAAATTTTCAACAAATTTAAAGGAATATTGTTGACTGGTATGTGATGACTTTGATGTATTTCTGAGAAGCGTGGTGATTCCAATGTGGGAAAACTCCTACTGTACAATCGCAAAACTACAATACCGCCACCTACGGGTATAACAATGACAATAATCTACAATGTTATTCTACAAGTATAACAATAACTATAATAGGGACTTTTAGATTCGCACGAAGACAATGGGGATTGCTACGATCGACGTCTTTTTAATGCACTGCCTTGAATGGACGTCACACGTTTCAGTCCACGCAAATGTAAAAGTCCCTAATATTACTCTGTGCAACCCCCCCCCCCCCCCCCCCCTCTCCCCAAACATCCACAATAACAACAAACTTTCTGCGTTTCCTACCCCTCCTCCAACCCTACTGCCTCTCTCTCTCTCTCTCTCTCTTCCTCTCCCATTCTTTCTCTCTATTTTTCTCTCACCCTCTCTCTCCACACACTACCTGTAGTCCTACCCCCTCTCCATCTTCATTTTATTATCTACAGCTAATACACCCGTGCGTGCGTGTCCGGCATTGTAAGAAGTATGGATAGGCCCATGTGGTAGAAGCACCCCTCTAGCCCTCTACAGGGGTGCTCTTCTGCACCTGTAGTAACATCCCAGGGCTACCCTCGCCCCCCCCCCCCCTCAACGGAGGTTTCTTCCGTCTTCATTTACCAATCGATGCTTTATCATACCCATACCTTTAATGTCACTTCTTTTGCATCTTTTTCGAAATCTTTCGTTTTTCTTTTGTAATCATGAGGCGATGTCATTGTCAGTGAGCCCATCAATCGGCTTTTCCTGCCCGGTTCTGCCAAATCTTGCAATCGCCCACTTAACCCACTGCCTACTAAATATATCATATTCCCCGTATATTTATGTTACTTACAAGTACCACACGGTTCCTCCAGTGGGCAAAGGGTTAATTATTTACACGTAGAATAC